TCTACGAAAACTCTCTAATATGTGGCTCGAAACAGCCGCTGTAGCTTTGGTCGGACATCAGTCCATACAAGGATAATCCGCGCCATATATATATATATATATTTTTTTTTTTAAGACATGTACGTGAAAGTCACGTTGTTGGGAGGGACATTCAGCTTCATGTTAATGACGAGGTTAATTTTCCCCCCCCGAGATATAAGATGGAGAAGCTGGAGGTGGTTAACATTGCTGAGGTATCAGTATATGGTAATTTGCGCGGATCTCAATTTCGTATTGAAGCACGTAGGTGATAAATTGTTTCATTCATTTTGTGGAAGGTTTGCAACATGTACAGAGAATAATAAGAAATATTACAATAAAAATTACTATATAAAAAAAATCTACGAAACACGTTAGTAAACACGTTTTAGAGACACATTCACAAATATTTCAGTATAGAACTACTTTATATAAAACGTCGCAACATATATAAAAACCGCGCGTGTTACGATTATGTAAAGGTCTGTTTAGTAGATGGTAGCCATTGTAGATTTTTCATTAACGCAAAAACACAGCTGTTTTCTGTACATGTAACTAAATTACACGTCAATATTTAACAGAAAAAAAAAGCTTCATTTTGCAGTGATTTGAACTAACTTGTCATGGCAAATCATTCCGGTATATTCTCTTTGAGTGGGCGGGTGAGAGATCCACCAACGAGGACGCAATGGTCTTGTCTTCTATAGATGCTATACTGCCACGAATGACTGGCTTTCCAACGAGAGGCTCGGATACCAGCGCTCGTTGTGTGTGCACGCGCCTTCTCTGCCCAAACTTCTCGATCCCATTTGTGACTCTTAAAGGGATACTTCAACGAAATTTGAAGCATTCCCGCGGCGTGTTCAAAAATAGGTTGAATATGATCCACAATATCCGTAAATGACAATCGCACGTTTGTATTTTGAGCCTGGTGCCTGTATTTTTCGTTATAAACGGCCCACTTTGGCAAGCGCTCGGAGAAGGCCCAGCGGAGAGAGACCACGTGACATCCAACGCAATCGTGACGTAGGTCGTCTCAAGACGAGCAAAGCTACGGCGAGGCTGACGTCGAGAGGATGGCCTAGTCGTTCCAGCCACCGAAGCGGCTGCCTTTGTACGAATTTTGAGTGACGGGTTAATCTTCTGTCATCTTGTAGTGGGACAATAGCGACTTCTGCGACACACAAAAGGCATTCTCGGGAAGAGGGGAGTTCCTCCTTCCCCTCTTCTCTCGTCGTGGCCGGAGGCGAGACACTCACCGTCACTAGCTGTCAAGGTTCCTAGACGGGCATTACAAGCGAGGCATTAGCGACATCCACCAGGTGCTCTTTGCTAATCGTTTAATTCGTTGTAAAATTCCTTTTCGATACCTTTTTTAACAAGATATTGGTATGTTCGATGTAATGCTGCTCGTTTGAACACATATGATACAAAAATGATACAAATGTAATGATACAAAAATGTATCATTCTAACGCCTCGCTGAAGGACAAACTACTTCTGAGCCCAACTTTCATTTCTCCCCGCATCGATCATCGCTTCAGAGTCGGCATACCTCTTTGCAAAACCTCGGCATACATTGACTCCTTCATTCCTCGAACGTCCTCCGATTGGAACCACCTTCCCGCATCTTTTATAAACATATCATCAGTTGATTTATTTAGAGCTGCATTAGTTAATCATTTTTGCTAATACATATTAGGCTGATCTTTTCTTCTCTCTAGCAGAAGTGCATTGTTGGCCTTTGCTTTGCTTTTTTTTTATGTTTTTGTATTGTTGTTGTTCTTGTCCATCCCCTCTGTAATGCCCTCTGGGCCCTGAGGGTATTGAAATAAATAAATAAATATAGACCAAAAAATGAGCGCCGAAATTTCGTTGTAGTATCCCTTTAATGTACACCGGAGCAAGCAAGCAGGCGCACAGGCGTAATAAGGGTTTTATTATCTCTGCTTCGCCTTGCACGCTGCCGTGTACGTGCCTGATCTGTGCAAATAAAAATCAGTCAATCAATCAATCGAACCGGCGATTTTTAAAAAGGATATCCGTGGACTTTTTGAACGAGCCGCGCGACACGCGACATTCATTGTTTTTTGGTGCTCGTTTCGGCCCAAAGTCGCTCGAAGCCGTCGGGGGCGCCTGACCTCGGCTCCGCCGGCAGTTCCGGTGTCTCGCTTCCGCGCGAGCGGGAACGGCTTCCTGCGGCCGGAAGTGCGGTCACGGCCCACCGGCGCGGCGTTCTGCGCGCGGAATGCTTGGGAGTCCCCGCGGGCGTCGTTACGCGTCTTCGGCACTGGTAAACAGTAGCCCCAACTGTCGGACGTTCAGGGTTTGAAGCGAATTCCTTTCCGTCGACAGGGGGAATCCACATCGAGCGACGGAAACATTTTTTAGCCGTCGAGCTACCGCCGTTCGTGCACAGCGTCGCTCGCGTCGCGATCGGATGATGGTCTAACCATATATTTCTAAAAGCGCGGTAATCTTTTCGTGCGTGCAGCACCGATTTCTTGCTATAAAAGGCACGCGACGCCGTGTCTAGCGTTACCACGTCCTCCTTTTCTTGTGGCGTTTTCTCTGACAAAATCGTCACGAACGAGCGTCATACAGTGAGCAATGCAAAAAGTGCCGGCGACAGCGGCAGGTTTTGGAGGAAAATAAGAAATAAATAAATAATCAAAGGGAATAAATGAAGAAATAAAAACGTAAATGAAAAAAATGGCACATGTAAAAATGAAATAAAAATGATAATATAAGTAAAAAATTCAAAGAATAAAATTAATTAATAAAATTAACGTAACATTATAAAAAAAAATATTTGAAAAACCTAGCATAAACGACACACAGAGTGTGTGCGGGGCAGATTGTGTGCTTTCTGGGGCCCTATGCTACACGGCGGGACCAAGTGCACTCTGGCGATTTCAAAAAGGTCGGAAAAAGACGTCAAGATTGGTGTCAGTGCGCGCTCCCCACATGAGCTACATGCGCTTGGCGGCTGAAAGATCTGGGTGTGATGTATAACAACTGGTCGGAGGTTTTTTCGTGTTTTCTCCCGTTTAGTTACATCTTTGGCGGGGAGGGGGGGGGGGGGGGGCAAACGAACGTGATATTTGGAATAAAAATACCCTAGCATTCACCTAACTCGTTTTCCTGAAGAAGGTCGTCACCTTCCCTTCTAAAGGTGCTCAGCCATATTATGGTGAACAAAAAGTAAGGGCGCAAACGAACTGGTGTACATTGCACATGGTTGAAAAAAACCCGAGACTGCGGGTAAACGACACAACACTAAAAAGTCTCTCTGGAGACTTTTTAGTGTTGTGTCGTTTACCCGCAGTCTCGGGGTTTTTTCAACCATATTATCGTGCCTGGAATGCGAATTCGACTGGCATGTTGGGCGTCCTATCACCCCCCCCCCCCCCCACACACACACCCACATACATGAGCGTACCAACCGGTGGGGGGGGGGGGGGGGGGGCAAAGGGGGCGCTTGGCCCCCCAGTTCTCGGAGTGGGGGGGGGGGGGGGGGAAGGGGGCAAGGTATGTGTTTTGCCCCCCCCCCCCCCCCCTTCCCCCCCTGAAACAGCTGCCACTGGGCAGGGCAAACACTGGCCGGCGGCGCCCTAGAGATACCAAGGGCACCGCCCCCCGTGCCTGGGGGGGGGGGGGGGGGGGGGGTTTGTCGCGACATCCGACAATGTTGTCGGATGTCGCGATCCTGTCGGTTGATGCTAGAAGCTCAAGCGACCTGCAGCAGAAAAGGCATCTGCCGCACGCACCACCGGGGTCATGACCGACAACATCATGACGCTTCCGTGACGTCATCAAACAAAAACCAGACTTTTTTTTTTTTTTAAGTTGTGAATAGGACGCTAAAGGGACGCTGACAGGGTGTTTATTCTCGCCAAGGTTTTTATTCATACATGACATGAGAGCCGAACTACCCAGGACACAATTTGCGGCTCGAAATTAGTTTTCTTGTCGCGCTCACTCTCTTCTCCGTGGTCATTGTCGTTATGGTTTCGACACGACCACCAAAGATAATCGAAGTCGTCAGTCATCGAAAGCACACACTCAATACTAAAAATGGACAAAAAGACATGATACCCATATTTTGTGGCTTCTAAAAATCTGCAAATACGTTGATTGAAAAAGAAAAAAAAGTTGCACAGCCACGTGACTTTTAGTAACTTTCTCCTCCTCCACAGCACAGTTTCAATTTTATTTTCGATCAATTGTGTGTTGTTGTTTTTTTTTTTATTAAAAATATACGTGACGCTGTAGCAAAATATTGATTGGCTGTAGTTTTCTGACACCATAATAGATCGCCTGGCAAAGCATAAACACATTTTTTCGGGGGGTTGTACCTGTGCAGGTGAGTTGTACGGCCAGGGGGACATAACATAGGGGCCTGATTTACACGATAAGTCAAGTAATTAACCAAAAATATATTTATTAACTTTTAATTAGTGAAGATAAGCATATGGTTCCGTTTATAAACTAGCTTAGTGTCATTGAAGACTGCTAAATAAGTCCATTTTGGAAAGATTTGGAGCGCGGTGGAGTAAAGTTACCGCTCGTGCGGTAGGCTCAAAGCTGCTAATGTGGAATCGCGCTCGGGCGGTTTTTGTCTTTTTAGTATTTGTGTTTTCGCGTCGCCAGTCTTTCACCTGCTCCACGAGTGGTAACTTTAGTGCTCCTTTGTGTCTTCCCGCGGGCTTCGGGCCTTTCTAACATTTACAGATTTAGTCGATTTCGATGACACTGGGCGGTTTTTCGTTGGAACCACGTGTTTATTTTCCCCAATTAAAACGCCGATTAACAAGATTTAGCTAATTATCCGACGTACCGTGACGATTACCCCCTATAGTATGTCCTTCCTGGTCATATAACTCACCTGCACAAAACAGATTTAGGAACGCGTTCCACGTACAATATGCGTATGCATCAGGGCGCCCAGGTGTGTTTGTGCGAGTCTTGTGCGCTTCGCAGGGCCCGTTGCTGTCGGTGCACCAGATGTGCCTGGACCTGGAGCAGTTGGCGGACGCCCTGGCCAAGAGGCTGTGCTCGGAACAGCGCTACGTCTACTTTGCCTTCGAAGACTACGACGCTCACGTGGTAGAGGTGAGGAGAAGCACAGCAGCACACGCCGACGCGCTCTTTGCAAACAAGCCCGACCTTTGCCCCCGTACCAGATTCGCACGAGGCGAGGCATCTGCGCCTGCGCCATGCTGACAGCAGCACCACCGAAGTCGTGTGACGTCGTCGCACCACTTGTGCTGGCTGCCCGTGCGTTGAAAAAAAAATGAAATAATAATAATTAGCTATTTATTGCACTATGCAGTGGCCCTGTTTCAAAATGTACTCGATCTCACTCTGAAGGTAAAAGTTCTGTGCCTTGGCGTTCGAAAACCCACCCGCGTCCAGCATTGTTCTGCCTGTGTTGTCAGGTGGCATGATGGGGCGGAGTAACTCGGATCGGTTCCAGTAAGATCCGGAGCACAGCCTTTGTGTCGGAAGAGTGGCCGATCTTGCTGAACCGCAATGGCCACGGCGAAACAATTCCCTTTTCGACCATGCCGGTGCCGCCCCTTTCGACTATATGCCGGTACCGATTTTTGTTTTCATTTTCTGTCGCGTGATTTGCACTTACTGGGTGTATGTCAGAAGGTTGACTAGCTGCCGTGAATCTTAATAAATAGAATCATAAAATTTTCAAGTCGATGGCGCAGTATTTCGTGTTGTGAAACGTGTGGATTTCACCCTCTTGACCTCCGTCTTTGATTTCCGCAGAAACTTTCGGATAAACCTTCCCTAAACCTCAATCTGGTTTAGACCATCAGGTGGATATGAAACAGTCGTATATGGTCGTCATTGCATCGTTATCGCTCCAGCGTTATTCCAGATATAGTCTGTAAATACAGTTGAGAATAATTGTTATTACGTTCCACCCCCATGTTCTTTTGTTATCGCGAAGGGAACAGGCGATGTTGTTTTAGCGAGGATATTTCTTTCGAAATCAGGCAGTGGGTTCATCGTGCTGACTGAGATCAAAGGGTCGTTACACCAAGTGATGCTAATGTAGTCTCCTAATACACGCAGTTATTTATTTATTAACGCTGAATCTGTTTTATCAGCCGAATGCTGAGAAAAAAGAAGAAAAAAACTCACGAAGAGCCGTCACGAAGCAAAGTCACGTGATAATTGTAATCACCCGAGACTGCGGTGACAACAGAAAAGCGACTGGAAGAAGGAAAGAAGTCACAAGTCTTTGAGGCTTCTTTCCTTCTTCCTCTCGTCATTGCACTTTCGGGTAATTCTACAATTATGAACTTGCACGAGCTCACTTGCGCCCTCACGTTTTGTTCGTGTGAAGACATGAACCGTCACGTGACATCACATGACATTATGGCGTCACATGATGTCACGTGACACCGACGAGGGAGCGATTGCCCGGCCGGGGGACACGGGGTGGTTCGGCAGCGTAAGCACGCTGGGGCCGCGATTGCCGGATCAGTCCACTCTTGGATGCACGGGGGACGTGGACACATAGACTCACAGCTCGTGACTCATAAATTAACGTAACACGATTACAAAAGAAAAAAAAAAACGTCGTTTTACGCGTGATTCGTCACCCTCGAAGAAAGGCCGGCCGGAAGAAAGAAAAAAAAAAAAAAATGCTGCAAACGATATCTCTCGAAGCACCCTAGGGATTCAAAGGTGGGAACACGCGTCCCGTCCACTCTCGCTCCCCGTGTAATCTCGAAATACAGCGCCGCGTGTTCGACCGCACCGGCCACGAATCACTCGTGTTATCTTTTTTTACGGTCCACGATATGACCCGAAGGTGCGCTTCGCCTCACGCGCCGGTGCGCTGCGGAGAAGCGACCGCGCGGGGCGCACCGATTCACCAGCTTTTGGCGATATCGCAAAATAGAGTGTTAGTAGATCGTTCCGATACCTCCGATAACGGGGTACCAGTATCGTTATCGGAGTCATCGGAACTACCTACTAAAACTCTTCAATGTCTTTATCTTGTACTTACGTAAAATTCCAAATGAACGCCCACCCAGGATGAAGGGTGAAAAATATCAGGTTGGCGAGCTTCGGTAGTGCAACAGCAAAATTTTATCAAAAGATGAGCGATAAAGATGCGAGATCACATGACGCGGGAACTGATACCATAGATCGCGCACACAGTAAATTTGCGGTCCACGTGTTTTTTTTTCTGTTTTTTTCTTCTTTTTAAGCATGTTGCGACGCACGCAAGCGCATTGTCCGTGTCTACTCGCTTGTGATTGTCCCTTGTGTCGCGCAAAAAACTTCTAGATCACTATATTGGGCTGCAGTCTGCGCCATCTAGTCGACGGTGGCGGTGGCACAGCTAGGTGACGCGAGCTGTGTCCTCCAACGCGCGATTCGCGCGCTCCCCAGTTTTATTTATTTTTAGCGATTGCATCGATGTGATTGCACGTCATTTGTGCCAACATGCTTACCCTGCGACATTTCTCCAAAAGTTGATGAATTTGTGCCAACATCGTGCCGGGGAAACTTAATTTCACTTTGTTAACACCGAAAATGTAATGGATCAAATTTGATCTAAGTATCAAACTTGGAATTCTCGAAAATTTCTCACAATATTTATCATGTTCGCGATCCGATCTGGCGGATTAGTTAGCTTCGTTGAAGGCCTCTCACCGCGCGCTGGTGCACTGCAATGAAGTGACGACTGCAGTGCAGACGTCGCGATTTCGCGTACTTTGTTTTGCCGCAGCGCACCCGTGTACTAAGGGAACAGCGCTCCTCCAGAGCAGACCATTATACATGCAGGTGCTAAGTATATAAACAAAACAAAAAATAATTGGTGAGGGCTGATGTAATAGCCCTACCTTACAGTACAAGTTTCAGAATAAAAGTGCGACAAATATATTTGATTAACTGCAAAACTTTTAATTGTTTTTTTTTTTTGTAATTTTGGATTCAGCAAAGACTTGGGTTGCAAGAAGATACATCAAGTCACTCGCTTAGTTATCACTTTTATATAGGTTTCATCGGAGATTAAGCAAGGGCACTTCGTTTGCAAGAAGATACAGCAACACACTCGCTTAGTTATCACTTTTATTTAGGTTTCATCGGTTCTATAGCATAGTCAATAGTAAATGAAAACTTAATTAGCGGGAGTAACGGATCGAAGCTTGGGAATAGCTTTAATGAGTTTAGCTGGATTGTCTTTAAAGGGGTAGCGCGACGATTTTAATATTAAAATAATTTGCAGTTTGTATTTTTTATATTGTTTATCTAGGCACAAGGGACAAAAAACGCGCCACCTTGCCCCCCAAAAAACTACTATTCTGCTGCATAGTCGCGAAAGAAAAAAACTCACTGTCACCCCCGTGGTGAACTGTCTTTTGTGTCGATAGCTCGCCGCGACCTTTGGTGCTGCTAATCCTTTAATAGTCAATATACACGGAGGAAGCGGCTGGGGTCTTTGAAGAGAGAACCCATGGGGAAACCACATGATCCTCCATAGTATGTCACTCGAAAAGCAACTTGGAGAGTTGAGAGGCACTTTGGCCTTCGATTTGTGTTATTTTTTTGCATAAAAGCTAGCGCTCGCACGAAAATGCAGTTTTTGGTTCTTCGTTCCATCTGTGACACAGATTAATTTCCGCAGTTAATTGGCCAAAGTCTGGAAATCGTTGCACCGTCCCTTTAAAGCATTCTTATCATTCATGTGCCGATTTATTTATCATGAAGTTTCACAATAAAATGTCATTGATGTTCATAATTAAATGACAAAAGCTTTGTTTTTAACTGAATTAAAACCTGCAGTAAGTGCTTGAATGGAATTTCAATTTAGGTGCTCAAAACGATTATATTCTAAAACTATTTCGGTAGAATATTCGGTTAGGTTTACCCTTGATTCCATACCTAAAATAACCATTCACAGCAGTTCATACTGTCCTTCATTGGTCAGTATCTTGTTGTCATGCCTGGTGCTTCGACGCGCAATGGAACAGCTAGTTCTGCATTTCAGGGAATCAAACCTACTGTGCACATGATTCTAACGAGAGGTTGCACATAAGTGGGAAGGCACAAGAATCTTAACTTAAGATTGGCGGTAGTATGAATAAAAAGCAGTGTGCTTATCCACCAGAAGTTCTCTCTGTTGCTCCAAAATGAAATTTTGGCTGCTCCAAAAGGTGCTCCAAAATAATGTGGACCAATTAACACGTATCACCACATGCAGCGGACAGTGAATAAAAGAGGAAACTAAGTTTATTAACAAACCACGGAAAGTGTCCTAAAACTTTTAGCAGTTTTTTTTTTAATTCTTTATCTTCTCATTCAAACATGCACTAACATATCACATGGCTAAAAAAAATCTTGGGAACTGGCTTGTAGCAATTCTTTGTTTGGCTCATTTTTATCGCAGCTGTGATTGCAGAAAAATTAAGTAACCTTATTTTATGCATGGCAGATTACTTGAGGGAAATCCCACTAATCTACCCAGAAAATAACCTACAGTCCTCTCTTTTTACTGAGAATGTTGCATCTGGGGGGGGGGGGAGTTTTGTAAGACATTGCATGAATCAGATGGGTGCGCAATGTTTCATCGTTTTGAAGCCTTACAGATGCTTAGCCAGTAAAACTGTATGGGTTATCTTTTTAATTAATTTTAATTACCAGTTTGTTAGTTAATTAACAAAACAAGATGTCGGGCATTGTAATTTAAGTTAACGATGCCACTTTTTAACATTGTTGGCAGGCAACTAAATTCATCTCAAACAACCTTAAATGAAGAGTCACTTGTTCCACTTTCACATAGCAAAAACACAGACTTGGACGTAGTTCAACTACTCTACTCAAGCTACTGTAGTTTAACTACTTTTCCAGTAACTTGGTAACTTTCAATTACAACTTGATTTGGGTAATTAGTAGTTTAATTTAACTACTTTTTTCAGGTAACTTCTACTCAAATTACTAACTACTTTAAAAATTATATAGTGCTAATTTTGCCCATCACGAAAGTTTGAGCGCAGAAGTGAATAAGACGCCGGCAGATGAAATGGCATTCCCGAACAAGGGGCCCCCTTGTTCGGGAATGCGTCCTTGGGCCAAGGTGGCGACGAGCAGCCAAAACATAACACCGGCACGCACGAACGCAGGAAGAGATGCTTAACAAGCCTTGGTCGGGTATTGACCTAATCTGGTAATGCCCGCAGGCGCCGCGTTTCCAGCTGCAACCGTGAAAGACGGGGACACTCTGAGAGTTGTAGTTGTTTTCGTGCTGTCTGTCTTTAGTGAGTTCCGACTGGAATGACGTCGCAGCCGGGCGCCTGCTCCCATGGTCGCCTTGTCGTCAGCGCATACGCCTTTGCAAAGCCGGACTCCCCCGCGCACAAACCCTGGCACGGATAATCCGTTCATGGGATCACATTCCCTCTTCCAGCTGCAACTGTATACGAGCGACGATGCTTGTTCACGTAATCCTTCGCGTCCTTCCGACCATCCATGCCTGGGAGACCTACTTTTTGTTAAAAACAATTTACTTGTCAGGCGTGTCAGGCGCGTCAGAATATTGTAGTCGCCGGCGAGGATTGTGAGCTACCCTTGGGAGATCCTTTTGTTGGACCCGGCATCAGCGGCGAAGTATACTTCGGTTCATATTTTGTTAAACCAAAACAATTTTTTTTTTTTTTTAGTAGCGTGGCACTAGCATTACAACAGGACCCGCAGTCGTCCGGATGATCTCATCGTCGTGGCGCGAGACTTGAACCCTTGACGGTCTGGTGCACCCGCTCAGCGTACTCTCAGAGCGACGTCGGAATAAAGAGGGGCCAGTCATAACAATCTCAACTTGACGAAGAAAATAAAAAAAAAGGAGGAAAGTTTGTTATTAAAGACCCTCTACCCTAGGCAAACCTCGCACGTTTCGTCATGGACACCTAAGATGCCGACACTCGCTTACCAGACCCTGCAGAGACTGTTTCTCAAATTCAACGCTGCCGTTCAATCCAGCCCGTCGGTGGAACGTCTATTTAGCTTGGCTGGGGACGTCTTTAGAAGGAAACGGGAAAAACTTTCCTATCAATAACTTTCAAGTCAATAGCTTCTGCGAGCGAATAAACTATTTTGGCGAAAACGCAAGCCATAAATAGACTGCATTTATTTTAGGCTCGCAGGGTTTTTCATTGATCAAAACTGCTGTTCATTTTGTTACCATAAAAATATAAAAAAGTAACTTCGAAAGTAACTTCAAAGTAACTTGCTACTTTTTACAGTAGTTAGTAGTTTACTCAATTACTATTACAAATGCGTAATTTCTACTCTACTCCAATTACTTTTGGCGTCGATACTCAGTAACTTAACTTAACTACCTTTTTTGAGTAACTTGTACATGTCTGAAAAACATTTTAAACATTCTCGGTAAAAATAGTCTGTACTGTCTGGACTGTAGTTTGCAACAATAAATTTCCACTGGAAAAGGAAGAGTTTCGTAGATATTCTGCAATGGGTGTATAGCCCATTGCAGTTCATTCTGCACCTGATGCATAGTGTGAATGAAAAATGCTCATACACAGCACACTTAAAAAAAATGCCTGCTTTATGAGCGCACACAAATGCTTGTATCGTACAGAAATTGCCATCAACATAACCCGTCATTCACAAGTTTTAGGACGTTTTGTCATAACAGACAATCTTAAAAGTACAAATTCTTGCACAGTCCGGAGCTGTGAATAGTCTGCACCACGTAAAATTAAATTTGTTTAAACTTTTATAGTCCGCGGACTATAGCCTGAAAAATATGGTAGATGCCGAGAATCCAGCCGATGTCTGAGCGTTATTTCAATTCTAACCCTAATGTCTCAGGTGTACAACAAAGTCCGTACTGGTGTAGACACCAATGATGGTATTGTTGCCATTTGATTCTACACTGATGATTTGCACATCCGCATCGTCTCCTTCCCAGTTCCACATGGTGATGTCACGCCCACACAAAATATATTCCGACAAATGATGACATTATCTTAGGCGCTCGTGTGCAAACTCACCACATCGAATTGTGTAAAAAATTAAAAACGCTCTATCTCTATGATAATGCTGACATGCATGGAATACGATGGAATTTTTTTTGGCTCGTTACATTTTCAATTATCATTTCTGTTTAGATTTTTTTTTCTCGCGAGTTAAGCAGATATTTGTGGCGTCTTTTTGTTGTTTCATCTTTTTTCGAGGCGAAACCATTTTCCCATCTAATCTAGAAGGGAAATCGAATGGGCGCATAGTCATACATACATTTAGGTTATCCCACTATGTTTAGCGACGAAATTATATGTTTAAGGCAAGACACTGGTTCTAAAATCGACTTTTTTGTTTATTAATGGATTATAATGAAAATTAGTGTGTATATGTGTTTTGGCTTCCTCTTTTCAAATATACAATTAGTTCTGCAATATCTCAATTGCTTTTTGAGTTACGAAGAAAATAATGAAGCCTAATTAGGTCATTTCTTACGACTCATTAAGGAACTTTCTAATACGAATTTTTTTGCATAAGTGATATGGATTTGTAGCTAAAGACCTGTCATGCAAGATGATGCTATTTATATTTTTGTAAAGATAGATCATTGTATAAAACTAGTCTAATTAGGTCAAGTACACTATTTACAAAGCTTAACGAGGTCACATTATCACTAATAATAAAATTTCGGGCCCATACTGTCATACAAAAATAGCATCACCCTGCAGTTCACTTCTTTCTGAATTCAACGGTATAAAGTTTATAGAAATCCTCGAAGAATAATCTCATGAAAACAACCGTAAGGCTAGGCATGTAGACAAAAAATGCGAAGCTGAGAAAATTGCAGTTGAAGTTTTGACACTCATTGCATAAAATTGAGTAAGATATCCCATGCAATAATGTTCAGCAATATGAAGCATAGTTCTATCTGAACAAATTGAGATGAAAAATTCTGCAATCCGTTCACAAGAACCTTTAGAAATAATATAAAACTGAGAAATAATGTCTGCAATGTAAAATAACGTTATAAAAGAATGAGTAGACTCTATAAGGGACAGCGGGAGGAAGCACCAAGGGTTGCACGTTCCGAAAGCAGATTTTGTTTGGCCCTGAAAAGGGCCTTTGTTCGTGTAGCACTTGAAAGGGGAGCCCCTCACAGCTGTCCAGGACTGTAGTCCCCAGCTGTTCCAGTTTGGTGTTGCCTGGAGAACCTCTGCTTTGCATTGCTGCTGCCCTGGTGGGCAGTGTTGGCCTTACGCGGATTGTCCTTCTCCATGCTTTGAGAGCTTTCATGTCCACTACAATGAACTGTGTCCCAGCGTCGCGCGTCTTGCCTCCTGTGGTGACGCCGAGAAGGTCGAATTTGCGCCGGGTCGCCGACTTTTCCGATAGCGCACGCTTGCATTCGTCCGATCGTGCGACTCGTTGCGCCTGCTCGGCCGTGGAGTAGTATGCGGTGTCGACACGAACCGCGCTCGCAAAGCTCGACAAACTGCCGCTGCTGCATGGAGTCGCGATGTCTCCGGCTGATGTTTCCGGAAGATCCAAGGCATCCGGCGGTGCCGATCGCGGTGGCGCACTTGCAGCAGACAGCTTCGGCTTCTTGTTCCACGGTCGCTTCCTCTTCCTTCCGAACGCTTGCCGCGTGCTCGATTTCAACCGAGCGTCGTCCGGCATCTCGAGAACTCGAAGCGAAACAAAACAAAACACGCGCGACTTCGTAGGAAAACGAACCAACAATATTCAACGCAAGCGCGCAAACGGGAACTAAAACGTGCGCTCGACCACGGAGGAAACAAAGCAGACAGGCCTAAGGAGACGGGCGGAGACGAGCCCAGGAGCAGACGACGCACCTCTCGCCAGCGCGGGAACGGAAAGGAGGAAAGGAGAAAAAGAGCGGAGGGGCGCGTTTAGGCCAATAGCAGGGGCGCTAGGCGCCGCGCGTGCTCTGACGTACGGGCACCTTGCTAGCAGGCCAATGAGAGATCGCAATTGGGGCTTTCGAAACCCACGGAATGCGGACGTTCCCCGATGTTGTCGCGATAACGAATGGCATGGGGACGTGGGGAAAATAAGCGGCTTTTCAACAAGACCAAGATGGCCGCGATCCGACGAGCGATCGCGAAACGCGCGGGGCGCGAAGTTCCACTTGTTTTCATTGAACTCGCTGTGTTAGGGCTCTGCGGGGACATCGTAAATATCATTTTTTTCATGTTTAGACATTGATTTCGACATTGAAACTTTGCAGGCAGGTACCTTAGACTACAATTAATCCAAATATGTGAATTTTGAAAAACGTGAAATTTCGCGTTTTTTGACCATTTTAAGACCCGCGTCAGTTTCGCCTTTTTTTTTTTTTCATTAAACCATTCATTTATTAAACGCGAGCAGGTATGGGTAGAAACTGATCCTAGCAGCACCCGTCCCATGGGCAACAGACAAAGACTGTTTTCGAACAATGCTCATTTTGCACAAACTTTGTTCACTATAAAAAAGCTCGATAGAATTGCTTCCCACCGCAGGCAATGTGCATCCAACGTTCCACCGGTTCAGTCACTTCTGTCCATATGGGCTGGGCCGATAGCATAGCGAGCGTTGCCGAGCAGACGTGCCACGAAAAGGCATCGGGCATTCTAGGAAGCTTGTCAATGAACTTTGATCTAGTAACGTCGGCTCTAAATGTATTCTGTGCAGACGACGCGTTGACGACCCTGGGCAAGTTGACAGCTTCGTGCTGCTGGAGGTACGGTTTGAGTGCTATTAGTGACCGATTCTCTTCGTTTGCTGCAGCTCTGTCCCGAGAACGGCACAACCACAATCCTGCTCTCTCTGCTGGTTCAAGCTGCCGAGTCGAGCCGTGAGGCCACCGGGTAAGTCTTCAAATCCGACTGCGGCAAGACATGCGGTTCCTCGGTTGTACTAGGACACCCCGAACGCATCTTCGTTTGGTGCGTTCAGCATCCCACCCGCCCTTACATCAAAAGTGGTCCCGGGGCGGCAACGAATGAAGTTACAGAGGCCGGAGCGGCATGTCGTCGGAAGTCGGGATCCCGGCACTTGGCGCCATACTTCGTTTCACCCTAAGTCCTGACGCAGCCGATGCCACGAGCCGATGAGACCAATCAGACGGCGTCAAAACGGCATCGTCGTGTTTCTGTAAGTGTTCTGTCATCGCAGAACCAATCACCAACAGACAAAGCTTAGTGACTTGCGCTTTTGACACTGCTTGATCGGTCCCACTAGCTCTTAGCGTTGGCTGCGTCAGGACTTAAGCCGAAACAAAGTATGGAAGTCCCGTCAAAAAGTAGCGTTCCCGCGACGTCATGGGGCGGATATCGAGGGGCCACATTTTAAGGATGCATGCGGCTCTTCCACATGATTGCCAGCCTGACCTGAAAATTTTATTGCGATCGATAAGTAGTTACCGAAGAGTAGACATTTCCAGGTTGCACCTAAGGATAATCGTGCAATCTCACGAGGCCGTGCTTGCTTCTGCAGGCCACAGCAAGGCAGCAGCAGGACCCTGTATCGAGCGAGTGTCCTCTTCCAGTGGAACATTGACACAGGTGTGTAAAACACAAGGGGGGGGGGGGCGGGGGCAGGGGGGGAGGGGGGCAGTATTTTTTGTATTGTAGCATTTATTTATTTGTTTGCACGTTTAGTCACATTGGCCAGTGCGGGGGTCGGCTATAATAATAATAATCAGCTTTATTTCGAGCGCCCAAAAACAACCGCATTGGTCTTTGGACTGGTGCACCACATTGAGAACACTATAAATAACCAACAAAAATATACATTATTGTACTCAAGACACACTAATAGAAATATAATATGGAGCATTCAGACGAAAATAGTTAGTAAAAAAGTGAATTACTCAACAGGCACACAGAGAGGCGGATTCACAGATCTCGATATTCAGAGTGGCGGCATTGTTATAACACAAATGGATTAGAGAGAAAGGTGAAATGTTGCCCAGTCAACAAATATCAGAACAGATTAAATGTCTGGTAAAGCGAAAATAGAGACAAAAATTAACTTAAAGGGACACTGACACCCCCCAAAAAATATTTTTCATTTTTTGCCAGGCGCTTCATTATGGTGTCGGAGGACTACCCAATTAATATTTTGCAACAGAGTAGCATATTTTTTTAATAAAGCCAAAAGACGCAACTGCTCGAAACCGAAACCGAAACCCGACGGAGGTCGGAGAAGTGGAGAGAAGAGAGTGGAGTGGCGGAAGTCACGTGGCTACACCCGACCGTGTTTTTTTTTTTCTTTTTTTTTTTTCTCTCTCCTTCTTGTAGCAGACGACATGCGGCGTACGGGAACTGTTCGCCGTGGGATTCTTTTGCAGTTATGTATGTTCCGCTCGTTGTTCTGTACTCCAAGATGAGTTGTTTTGTACATTGAGGAGTTAGAGATGAGTAGTGAGTGCCCGTGGTGAATTTTGATCGGCTCCGAAAAGAATACACCCAAGATGTTGCGTGAAGAGCTGGCTCACATGTCCTGCGTCCGAAACAGAAGTGGCATTGTGCGACAGAATTTCCGAAAGATCAACGGGATCGGGACCAATGGCTGGCTGCATTTCCTGTAGACCATTTACGGGCACCTCGGAAAGCGGACGCTACCTGATTTATATGCTCCTTACATTTTGTGGAAAGTGATTACATTGAGTTCGCAGGTGTCAACAAGGAAATCCCATACCATTTAATTCAGCGACGTGTCGTCCACAACATTTGTTTCTTATTTTTTTGTTTCTTCAGTAATAATTGTAAAAAAAAAGAAATGTAAACATCAGAAAATATTATAAAAAAAAGTATCACGGGGGATCGAACCCGGTCCTACCGCGTGTGTAGTGGACGTCTTACCCACTGAGCTACTGGCGCATTTCGATACTGGGGGATCTCTTTCCTTAGTAACAATTCAGCCGATAAACTGTAAGTTGGAAAGTTTGCTGCCGATTTTTCTCTAGCAAAAGCACTCCAGGGTCGAAGTCCGGTTGCACCACGCATTGGCGACATTCTCACCTAGTAAAGAAATCGTACGCGTGCATATTCAACTCGAAGTAGACACGTCGCGCTTGACGTTTGCGCGAGCGATGTCTTCAGCCACAAGAAGGGAGTGACGGCTCGAAGACGTCTTCGTGCAAATCGGCTTGGTGGTCGGGCGTGTCGTACGGCATGAATACCAATCCTTTTGAACAGTCCCAAATTTCTCTTTTAAAGGCGGACAAAATTCGCCGGTACCGCGAACGACAGTTGTGAAATAGAGGTCCCACGCCCGTTGTCCGCTGCCATCGCCGTCCCTGCGAGTCCCACGATACGCGAAACGACGCACGCACAGAATGCTTCCGGTTGTCTGTGGAACTTTTTTTTTCAATCAACGTATTTGCAGGTTTTTAGAAGCCACAAAAAATGGGTTTCATATTTTTTTCTATTTTTAATATTGAGTGTGTCCCTTCAGTGACCCACGACTTCGATTAAATTTGGTGGTCGCATCGATACCTTAGAAAACGTCCCGTGACCGCGGAAAAGAGAGTGAGTGAGACTCGAACCGGCCAGTTCTTGATCGGCGGTTTTCGGGCGGAAAGAAAACGAATTTCGAGCCACAAATTCTGTTCTGGGTAGTTGAGCTCTCATATGTCACGTACAACTAAAAACCTCGGCGAGCATAAATACCCTGTCAGTGTCCCTTTAACAGAGGAAAAATTAACTTTACAGATTAACATTACATAGAAAAACTAAGGCACAATCCTCCCTTCTCTCAAACTTTCTCTTTCTTATAAGGATTTTATGTTTATGGGTTATACATTCTTTTAATTTAAGCTTGTTTTTTCACAAAAATTTGGTGCTTTTCTGTGTCCATTTCTAGTGTCAGGCAAAAAATTAGCATTGATCCGGCAGGGCATAAGATGAAAATGGGACACGAACATGGGTTTCCCCAACTTTCAGGGAGTGTATGTGTGACCTGGATGTTCTTTTAAAATGCCCCGCTACAGATAAGAGTAAGGAAACAGGTAAGCATAGTGCTTCCCGAAGGAAAAAGCAACCTTATGGACGCTTCACTGCATGCTGTGTTGGGGGCAACACAAAATACAGCATTTAGTTAAAGATTTTCTTCCTGTTAATCTAGGGTGTTTATGTTTCAACGACAGCTCTACTTCTGGGTTTTTAGGTTTTTCTTGATTTTGATAGAACTGGCCCTAAGGATTTTTCAAGATTTATCGGCGTACACCGAAAACATGAAACCCTGTTACGTGTGTTACACAGACTTTAAAAAAAAAAAAGGAAATGTACATCACTTTACTGCCCACCAGTACCATATTTTCGAGTGTAAAAAATCACGGTAATTTTTTTTTTTTAACATTTCCTTCGGTGTGTTTTATACAAATCCTCGTTGATGAATTAAACCTAAAATAAAATCCCCATGGCGAATCTCTTCAGTTAAGGTCCATCCTTGTAGAAAAATTTGCATACAAGTCGTACCAACTTATATTCAAATTTTCCTATAAGGATGCGGAAATTTGCTGTGGGAATTTTATCTCTCATTTAATTCATTGACGGGATGGTTGGGACCAGCTCTCGCTTGCGCATGTATTGCGATCATAACACGGACATGCGGGCTTTTCAATGCTGTTTTGCCGCACCTACCGTACAGCTATATTGGTGTGACTTGTACAGAGGTGCGACTTATAGACCAAAAAATATGGTACATAGTACACCACCAGCAATGCAAGCGGGAACTCGCCTTTGGCATCTCAGCATTGTCTCGACGGCACCACATGCGAATTGATGGCGCTTTCATCCGCCCCGTTTTGTACTGTTTGCATGCACACAGTATCATCACCAGAGGTAATATCACTGCAACCAGCACAAATCCTGCTTTAAATTGTTTTTTGCTTCCACTCCTATGGTCTATATGCTTGCAGGAATTCATTCATTCATTTGTTCATTTTCTGTGTTCATGAACAGCTTACGTCTTGTTGATGGTGTACAATGAGATTAAAAATTAATTAGAAACAACTTAAAAATCAAACAAAAGCGGGAGGGTGTAGAGTCGTCAAAGAGTATTTCACAGCAGGTGGTTTTTAAGACTTCCTTCAAAGTTTGCAGGCATGTCAATATCAGCATTTTTAAGTGGAAAAAGTAAAAACTCACTCAAGCTGACGAATAATTTTCATACTGGAGCTTGAGATGGTGTGGAGGAGGTATCATTGCATATAAAGATGAGTTTGCGAAATAAGTTAGTCGCAGAGTTTGAGACGGCAATTTTTTTTTTTGCCTCGTCTTAGGTTTTAGTATAGACATTTTTTTAGATAGATTGTTAATTCCACTGTGGCACTGACTGCAGAAAAATATTACAGTAGTATTTGAATATGCCATATTTTAGAATGCATAGACATTGTAGATTTGTTTAATCATTACTGTCATTGCTTTATGGAGGATCTGTTTTAGAAACCATAAGACGTAGGGATGGCACTACTTTTTGGAGTAATTATTCTAGAATAATGTAGCTGCATGGGCACTATGCCTCTGTTGTAGTTGCAGAAAACTCTAATCCACTTGATCCCAAGCTTTTTTTATTCTGGGTGGCATTTTTGCAACTGCATTTGTGGCACCCACATTTTATATTAAATGTTCTCTACTTTTTTTAATTTGAGCGTGGAAACCATATCTAGAATGATGTAGGATATCATGAACAAAAGAAAAATAGCGTCATCTAAGGGTGACATGGACATACATTTGTTCCTTGGAGTTGGGACGAAAAATGAAGCACTAGATTTGATGGTGTAAATACATGAGTGTGAATATGGAAAAGGTCATATTTTTCGCCCACAATGTGCGAAGAAACGAAAGCGATACCTGTAGCACGGTTGCGCAATGCGGGTGGAATGGTGCGGTCACATACTTGAGGATAGAGGTGCAACGTGGTTAATTCTCATAGCCGTCGTGGATGCCACTGACGACTGCCACCAGTGATCTGTGAAGTAAGTGGGTAAGTGCGGTGGAATCTTCTAAAACCATCCAACATTACGTGTAGCAGCTGGATACTGCCATAGTGGAACTTTGTGTAACGCAAGTAATGTTTGAGACAAGTCTTTCAAGCAGACGACGCGGAAGATTTTCCTTTTGTCGCGTCTTTAGTGGCGGGATGCCGGAGCGGCCGACAGGAAGACCCGGCCTCTCTGGCCTCCAAGGAGGATAGAAGGGTAGGAGAGGGCATGACGCCAGCCGCGTAGCCTCCACAAGCCATGCTCCCTTGACACCTCGCCTCTTTCTCATTTTTCTCCTTACTCTCCTCACTTACCACGCCAACGTGACCACATCACGTGGCCATAGCTAACTTTCGTCTTGCTATGGGGTACTAGAATACACCACAGTCTAGCTTTCGATCTGATAAAACCTACCGGACTGAGCGTGCGCAAGCCTGCAAGCAGTCCTTCTACAAACAACCATCCATCTCACACGTGACATGTCACGCGCACCAGTCGCCAGAGAGATCTGCGGTCACGCTGGGCACAAAACCGTTTACACTTTTTATGACTAGGCTTCACCAATATTGCAACGTGCCCCCTCCTAGTACTTCTAACCTCCTTGCTGGCCTCGCATCAAGAGCGGAAAGAAGGGTTTTCCTGTAGCGGCGATGACAGGAGGCCATGTCGAAATCTCTGCAAAGTGTCGCCCGTAAAGCTATTGCTTTAAAACAACTTGACTCCGGCCACGTTTTGCATGTGTTCAGCTTGTTAAAAAGACACACACAATTTTTTTTTTTTTTAATGTTCAGATAGGACAGTATGTTAAAAAATAAACTTCCCCTGAAAAACAAATGTTTTAAGCACAACGCGAGACTCATTTGAGTGTTGCCAAAACATGCTTCTATTTTGGGGTTGACATCTCAAAATGCAAGCATGTTTTGGAATTGCTTCAAACACGAAATGAGTCTCGAAACATAAATAATGCTGCCAAGTCGCTGACTGATTTTTCAGACTTTGCAGGGACCGAAAAAACGTCCGAATAATAGAACAGCCCGAAAAATCGGCAGATTAAAAAACTTGCCTTTATTACGTCTAAGTGGGCTTAAAAAAGGTATCAATAGTGCTTTGCTTGAGGTTACGCCTCCACTTGCGTTTGGCCACTTTCTATTAGCTTGAGAATCGCTGCCTTCTTTTCTAGTGTTATGGTCAAGTCCTTTCTGCGCTTCTTAGCAAAACACAATTCACTGAGACGAAATGAGAGGCGCATGTCTACGACTGCAGATGTGCAGAATGACGAATAAACAAAGCAAAATGGCAACAGTGATAATAATAATGCCGCGCAGCTAGAGAAAAAAAAGACATAGCATAGCGTCATTTAGCGGTAGGACTTAGCAGTACTCGAGTAGCGCTGTCAAACCAAGCCAGTCCACGTGCAGCCAACATAGAATCTAAAATGGTGGCTCCTCAGGGGCATTCCCCCCCCTCGATTGCTCGCGACGATTTTGTTCGAAAAATCTAACTTTTGGACTTCAAGCTGTCCGAAACATCAGTCGTGATTATGCTAATTTTCTATTGGGCAGGTCACCTTTAGGTCCGAAATATTGAACAAGTCCAAATTATCGGAGTCCGAAAAATCGGTCGGTGACTGTATTTGTTTTGCTTTTGCTGAAGGACTTTTTTTATGTACATGTTTCTGGCGAGCTTAGGGGTTCATTGCCTCTTTAACGTGGGTAAAAATTAATAACCTTATTTCACTCTTTTCGGTATCGACTCTGACAGCATTCATATCCCCGGTTGCTCGCAGGACGATACTGGGTTGCAAAGGTGCGGCCACTTCAGAAGCTGCTGCGGCCGTTTGACGACTCGGAAGGGTAAGTGGGATCCTGACTGTCCGGTGGATCTTGGGCCCCTTTTTGCCACCACGCCTATATCCAGGCAAAGTTTTAGGTCGTTTCCACTGACCTCAATGACGATAGCTGGATCGCGCATCCCCGCTCCGTGAGTGCGACCACTGGACAGCCATCTTGCATGCCGTTTTTTTCTTTGTTTTGCTGGCATTGCAGAGGCCGGCAGCAGCGTGCTAAAGACACGTTTCCTACTCGTTCGTTGTCATTCGCCGAAGACAACCTTTAAGATCCTGGGGTGAGGCCTGATACTTGCTGTTGAGAAACATGTGGAAATTTCTAGGAAAGCGCAGTGCCGCAGGAAAAATGCACAACTCGTCGAAAGCAAGTTTCGCCGGTCTCGCCTCGTGTTCAAAGCTTCCTTGGCACGCCGAAGTACCGTGTCTCTGTGCCTTCGCACGCTTGGATACCGATCAAGAATCGACACCGTGTGAATGTGTTTTTAAAGTGCAATGTGCGTGAAGCCGTATGTGCCTCTGGATCAGCGTCTTACTTTACTGTGACGACTGTATACTTGTGGCTCTCGCGGTCCAGAAGCGAGCTTAATCCAGCTTCCAGTAGCGGCGGAAGATGGGGGAAGATATGTACATCTTTTTTCGTCATTAGGCGATTTACAGAATACTGCGCACAACAGCTCCTCATCACTAATCAGTGCTGGCTCATTATCAACCTACTTAATTGCACTTGACGTTTGAACGCGGCTTGCCTAATTGGGATTAGTCAACAGATTGCACACGACCATATGGGCCACACTTCAAAGATTTTCATTCTCGCCGTCTTGTGGCCGGAGTTGGCAGGTGGCCGCAGTTGTGCTGCAGCGAACAAGCAAGGATGTGCGATCCAGCAATTACTAAGAGTACAAAGCGGGTTCCAGTTGGAGAAATAACGAATTGAACATCTTGTGCATATAGAATTGCAAGATTGACGAGTAAGACTTGGCGACCATTCCCACCTACTACATTTATATTTTTTTTGTCCCTACTGCAACATGCAGGGCCACACTCTAGTATATATTCCACATCGCTGCAATGCATGCCAAGGTGTATACTTACAGGGTGTTCAACTTCAATTGAAATTCTTTTCGTAAAAAAGGGCACCCTATAAGGATGTCGTTTTGATTTCACTTGTATCGGGCAGGGTTGGCAGACATTAGATGAGAGGATAACCTTGTGGTGACAGGCCCTTGTGGGGATGGGTCCTTGTGGGGATGGGTCCTGGTGGGAATGACTCCCAGTAAAGATGGCTTCCAGTAGGATGGCTCCTGGTAGGGATGGCTCCCAGTGGTGATGGTTCCCAGTGGTGATGGGTTCTTGTGTTGCGGGTCCTTGTGTATGCCCCTGAGCTGATGATCTCTTGTGGTGATGGGTTCTAGTGGTGATGGGTTCCAGTGGTGATGCATCCTTGTGGTGATGGGTCTTACCAATGTCCAGCTGGAAGGCATCGAGGGATCTGGTGCATCGGCTCCAGTGCCACGCATGGAATCCATGTCCCGCCGGTTGTGCCGTCACCGTCTTCACCAACAAACCTGTCCTACGAGGTACTGCCACTCCTTTTCGACCCAGCGTGTTTCACATGTTTCATCTTATGCTTCTATTCGAAGCAAAAACTCAAGTTTCTCATGTTTGTTTTAGTCGTAGTTGATCAAAAAGACAAGAGGTTTGACTAACAAGACCTAGTCACCGAAACTGGCGGCTACCACCGAGAAAATGTGAAAGGCAATGCGTAAAGCGATGGGGAATCGAAAACTGATTATGAGACTCCTGATTATTATTCAAAAAGGGAGAAAAATGGGACAAAGCTACTAATACAAATTAAGATCAGTTAGTATGTTGGGTGAACCACTAAGGAAGGCTGAAGATAGAATCTGCAAATGTTTGATTTTAGAAACAGGGTGTCTAGCGACCGGGAAAACTGGGAATTGTCAGGGAAATTTTAATTACTGGGGAAAATCAGGGAATTGTCAGGAAAATTGTCGAAAAGCGAGCCCTGTTAGAGAAAATGAGCAAGAAACACCATCAAGTTCCCTGAGCAAAGGCTCGACGACTTGGGGGCAGAAAAATAGGCAGTAAATTCTGCTTAGAGCGGAACGCAGACTCTGCTTAACCGGTGTAAAGTATGCTACCCGATGCAAAGGGAAGAGCCGAAAAATCCAGTCCAAGCCTTGAATTGGATGGAATTGGATTGAGGGCGCGACACTAGGCTAGATTCAGTCAGAGCTACTAGATTTAGTAACAAATGGGAAAGTCGCAGACCGTAGTTTAATCCAAACCTTAAGCCGAAAGTGTGCATCTGGCGGCCTTGCGGCCATGTTGCCATTCGGTTATTGATGTGTATGGTTGAACATCGTGTTTTCATTGTTTCCAGTAGTGGCCTTTTCACTGACTATGTCGGCGGCAAGAAAGTGCTCGTTTCTCTATGGTGGACGAAGGCGGTCGGAATATTCAAGTTAGATTAAGCCCTTGCAAAATGATTCGTATAGTGCTCAATGCTCAATGCCGTGTGTTGTAATGGTTTTATATATTTAACCGCCTCTACAGTGGTCAGGGAAGTTCACCTGAAATTGTCAGGGAATACCTGGAAAAGTCGGGGAATTTCAAAATAATAATTTGCTAGACACCCTGTAGAAAGCAGTCAGTGCTTTCTAATATCCGACATGTATGAATTGAAGGAATAAGCACCGAACAATTTTTTGCTTTATGTTTAGAAATTTCTGTGTTTTGCAGTGTCAATCACACTGAGAGCCGTAAATTTTTCTTGGGTTATGTAGCAAGTTTTTTTTTTTTTTTAAGGGACTTCTTTGAAGATGCTTTGGGCACCAGGATTCCAGATGGCCATCACACTGTAATGGAAGCCAAGCCAAGCCCAGCCACAGCAAGAGGAGAAATGGCCGTCCTGATCGGGAACCACTACAACCTTGACTTTTCTCACAAACGTTTCAGACAACTTTTGTGGCAGTTTTGGGAGCTTGCCGATCGAGTCTGCCGTGCTGTAACCACCAAAGAGACTGCATTTGTTTTGTTTTTCTTATTGGATTCGGTGGTTTTATTGCCCAATCTGCAAGCTTAGGATATCGGCTTCACAGCTTCGCCACCAGGTGCTGTTAAACTGCGTTATGGTTGCAAATAAACGGCAGTCTACACAACCCATGGCCGTTAGAGCTCTGTGGTCGAGCATGGAGCTGCAATGGCTCTGTAACGGCAACTACACAAAGCTGTCAGAATGGGCACAGCCGTTTATTTGCGACTGCATTAAAGTCAATCAACTCCCAAGTGGCCAAAACATGAACTGCGACAGTAGGTTTAAAAAGTTTTCCATTACTGACAAATGAACCCACAGCTGAACGTGGGTTCTGCTTTTCAGCAGAAAAGTGTTTACCAAGAAAAAATTTTGTTTTTGTTTGCTATTTTTGTGCATTTATTTTTTGCAGCCACGGATTTGTAACCAAGCACCAGACATTTTTTTAGCTGGTTTCCTATTTATGTGTAAAAGTTGTCATAAAACTAATTACAAGTTTTCTTGCTTTTTTTTTTTTCTTACTGATTTGTGCGAAAAAATGTGTGCACAACCTGTGCAGTTGTGTGCCACAAGTTGTTTGTGCACAAGTTTCGTGCAGTCCGCGAACTGCGCACAATTTCTGCAGCAGTGTACAAACACGTGTTCTTTGCACACTTTTTAAGGCTGCATCATTGATGTTGCCCATTTTAACATACACAGTGACTGAAGTTTCTTTTTCACTTCATCTTAGTTCCTCTAAAATACTGTAAAACGCTGAGTGAGCTCTCCTCTTCCAAAAATATTTAAATCACTAACTTTGATGGTGCTTCGACTCTGCTAGCACAACCAAAGTCCATGCGACACCGAAGCGATCGCAAAGACGGAATGCCCGTGTTGGCCGGCAGGCAACTGATGATAAACGTATGATCGTATCGGGGAAATCAGTAAATTATGTACGCTTAAACTTCTTTTCTTGAACTATTGTTCAAATGTGCCGAATGGGATTATTTATTTGCAGTAGTGGTTTTTATTAGGGAATCAATAATGTGCAGTGACTTGATGGTTTACAAATGTTGGTGGGTCATTGCAGTGTGTGGAGGCCACAAAAGTTGCTATCTGAAAATGGATTGGGGGAACGGAGAACACGATTGGTTGTTGACACAGAACAATAAAATGATGTCTGTTATTCACCTGGAGCATCCATTTTGGGGGGGGGGGGGAGAAGTGCCATTTGATTGCTGTTTTTAGTTTGTTCACTCACTCTTGACCTTGTTAGTGAGCACATAGTTGAAGGCAGAAGAGACAAGCATGGCAATGTAAAAGAACTACTGAATCTAATGTAAAACAACAAAACACAGATATGTTAACAGCACCAAATATTAGCTGTCTAGCCGCTTTGTGGCAAGTTACTGTCGTAGTGTGCAGTACTGACTTCTGCTCTTTATGGAAAACGGGTATAATTCATTTGACCCCTCACTATGTGATGGGTCACGTTTCCAAAGAAGCTTGGATACATGTGCCAGCCTTCTAAACACAATCGTCACGTCAAGTCAGATAATGAACTAAGATCTGTTAATTAGCTTTTTAATTAGTGAGAACTAACATGGTTCTAAAAAGGAACCTGCTGAGCGTTATCGCAAACCACAAGATCAGTAAATTTGAGAGATTTAGAGCACATGGGAGGTGTGGTGGTGCACTTGCTCGAGGCTAGCGGTGCGGAAACAAGGACGATAAATGTGTAGTGGTGTCATCTGCATTTTTGCACTGCCAGGATTGTGCCTGTTCTAAGTGTGTAACTTTACACACCATCATCTGCATCTTTATCTTATGCATTTTTGCACTACGAGCCCCATGCTTGTTTGTATGGTAACTTTATGCACCTTTATCATCCACATTTTTACATCGCCAAGCCTCGCACTTGCTGTAAAGTGGTACGATTGCATTTTTGCACCGGCAGCCTGGTACCTGTTTTGATTTTGAGGTTCTTGAAGATGCTCGGCAAGTTTCTAAATGGAACCATGTTTACTTAACTAATTAAAAAGTTAATTAACGGATATTAGTTAATTATTCAACTTATTGCGACCATTAGTGCCCTATGTGATGTTAATGGGTGTTCCCACGACGATGGAGTTTGGGGGGTGCCCATTTTTCGACAAGGCAAGGACAGGATGTCGGGGCTTATGAGGTGGTACGGAATGGAGCACTGCAATGATGCACAAGATACAACGTTCCCGTGCGCGTCGGCACTGCAAAAGGTCGATAGACACTGGATCGCTTGGCGTTTTATGTTATAGGAAGATGGAACGTCCCGTGCCTTGGGGGAGTTTCGTCCCGACGACTCCGACAACGACACCTGAGACTCCGCAGATGCCTTTGCGCGTGCGTCGTGTCGTTGTCGAAACAATCTACCAAAACCCTCTAACTTTCGATGACCCCAAAGCGTGCGATGCAAAGCCAACTCGGACACTTGCATCCGAGCGTAATTGACCGCGTTACAGCTTCTCTCGTTCCGCTACAACGCGTCATGCGGACCTCCCTCGCCACAACGACCATCTGGTTGGAGGCAGTCGTAACACGGTCACTCGCACTCAAATGCCCGAACCAGCCTCTGAAGCGGCGCCTTTCCAGAGCAAGCAGGCGACTCGGTGAAGTGATTCAAGCCATACTCCGCTTTAACTTGATCTCGGCTAGTGCTGCGATCCGGTGGAGCCAATTGAGCGGGGCCAAGAGTCTATCCTCGCGGGCGCTCGTCGTCGTCGTGTTTTGCTATCGCCGGCTCAACCGGTCGAGCGCAAAAAAAATGTGCAGGATCACGGTGCAATCTCTGTGCACGATTGGCTTTTAACTGAATTTTTAACGAGCGTCCGATGAGCCGCAGCCAACGCTACGATCCGTCGGATCGTAGCATTGGTTGCAGTCGGACTTTACGCGAAATGGAGCGGGCGAGTGGACGGACAATAAGTGCGGTGCCACGAGCCAAGCTTTTCGCACCCGTAGCCCCAGTTATTCCATAGCTCTTGAGAGGCCTGGAGCGTACCATTCTTTTTGCAATTTAGCTTGGCCACAAAATCCTGTACGATTCTCTCTCCACCCATGGTGAAGAGAAAAAATGCAAGAAATTACAGGGCAGCAAATTGATGGTCGAGGCAATTTTGTTGAAACCACGAGGGTGATTATCTATGAATGTGATAGCATTTACCGTTGCACACCGCCAAATTTAGCGGGGACGTAGCATCAACTTTTCCACTAAATTTAGCGGGGAAGCCACCCCCTAAATTTAGTGTCTTCTAGGACGACGCTAAATCCTTGTTCTGGGACAGCATCTAGGACAACGTCCCAGAGGACGATGTAAACGAGAACCCTAGGGGTTGTCGTTTACATCGTCCTCTGGGACGTTGTCCTAGATGCTGTCCTTGATGCAGGGGCGGATCCAGACCTCCATTTTGGGGGGGGCGGTTCCTCGGCGTAAAACGGGGGGGGGGGGGGAGTGTTTATATTTTTTGTGGAGTCATCGTTTTTACTAAACTCTGATAACATAATATTGATCTTGAGAGCTTTTGTATCGGTTTACCTGTAGGGGATGAACTCTTTGAACTTTCTGTGGCTACGCACACCAAGGCACACGCTCCCGTACTTTTGACTGCATAGCCTCAGAAAGCTGGGCATCTGGCCAACGCACTGTCTCTGCTCGTGCGGAAAATCACGTGCAATTGCAAGCTTACCAAAGCTATATTCACGTGCACGCCATACGTTCCTGCTCGTATGGGGCACCAGTCAGGACGCTACACTGTAGCGTCCTGACTGTAAATTTGACCGTAAAATTAACGGTCAAATACCAGGCAGCTGATGCTGCCAAACTTGTACAGTAAAAATAACGGTGCACTGTAAATCTGGTTTACGATAAATTTAAACGGGGACCGTAGAAATCTACAATCGGCCTTCAAATTTGCGGTAAAAAAAATTTACAGCGCGCCGTTATGTTTACGGTGCAATTTAAACGACGAGAAAGGTGGTAGTATTCAGGTTCATAACATCATTGTATAGTGATGTTATGAACTCAATGATGTTATGAACCTCGACTGAACCAAGCACGTTTTGAAGGCTTTCAGCAAGTTGGCCGAACATGTATTGTTTGTACAAGAAATGCCGACGTTGAAATTCATAAATGGTTTTTTGAACTGTTGATACCGGCATAAGAAGCGTTCCGTTGAACTTCAGGTACAAAAAAAAAACAAGGTCGTATTTTACGGCCTTCCTTTTTTCTCCTGCAGACAGAGACATTAACACGTCGTAGTTATCATTAGGGGATTGCATCACGTTAACAGCACCGTCTTCATTAGAATCCGCACTAGTCGACCGAGTCGAAGAGTCCTCAACCTGAAGCGGGCCTGCAGGCGATGCGCCGTCGCCCAAGAAACCCGTCACTCGTAAATGCGCCCAGTTCAAATGTGCCGTGATCGAACTATGATTTCACACCTTCTGACAGTTGGAGCACGAGCACGAAAACAAAATGCCGTCGGTGATGTGGCCTTTTAGATGTTTTAGCAAAGCCTCCCTTGTGTGGCACTCCTCTAGGCATGGTGGCAAAGTGCACTGAAAGCTTTCCAAACTCCTCGAAACAAACCAAACTTCCCTTAGGCGTACCAATGCCTATGTCTTCTCAAAATATGACACCTGAGAGCATCATACGTAACAAACTGGCGACAGCATCCTTCGTCCACACACTGAAGAATTCGAGAGCTGAAAACGTGCTCATCGAATTGCACAACCATCAAGCGTGCTTGAACAGAAACTACAAATTCTGCAAGTAAACATCTTTTAGAGTGTTGTATTTATGCCACCATTACACTATCCTTGCCAATCAAGCAGCAGATTGATAGTGAAATACCTGCCTCGAGTATCCAGTTGCCTTCCGCTCCAAATTTTCAGGTGCACAAAAATCCGGGAATGCCACAAACGAACGAGGACAAAATGGCGCGGAGACGGGTGGGAAGGCGGGAAAATGATCTGAACGTCAGCTTTTTCCACTTCTTTCCGCGTTGTCCCAACCAACGTTCCTTTCTTTTGTTTATGCTTCTAGCTAGTCGCATTGTTGCTCTACTGTTTGCTCTTAGTTCTCTTTTTTTTCCTTTTTCAGTTAAGGCAGTTACGCTCTGCGTTGGCGCGGACAAAGAAAGGAGGTGAAGGGGCGAGAGGAGACTCTCTGGGTTCCCGCAGCTTCCGAAAGGTCAAGAGTAGTGACCAATTAGCGAAGCGCGTCTTTTCTTTCTGTTTTCTTGCTCCATGAAGTTTTGCGTTTCCCTCTCGGTTTTTTTGCTCGTTTACGGTGCATTTCAGATAATTCCTCTTCACGGCGTACTTGTAGTTTTTATTAGCGTATAGCGCCGTAAATTTGACGGTTACTTTTTACAGTGTATGCTTTCGAAGCTAAGCGCTTGTGAGCCCGAGCATGCTGGGCGCCGATAAAAGCTGCGCACAATGCCTGGTTACTACTACTGATATGTCAAAAAACACCTCGACCGCACGAACACTCGTGTGGGAAAAGGTCCAAAACTAATAGATTGCGTTTGTCCAAAGTGAAGTAGGGTAAGATGGGCCAAATGAGACGCGGGGCAAAATGCGACAGTTGGAGTGAAGGCATCCAAACGAAAGTTTTTGTTTAGTGCCAGCTATCACCTAGACACAAGTCTCAAGCTTCACTGAGACGTGCCTTAGCCTGTTCACTTTGCGTGAGGACTTGCCTTTGGCAAGTCCTTTCCGGAGAAAAAGAAATGCCGATTTGAGATTGCCGAGTTTACCGCCCGTCAAAGAGGTGCATAATTCCGCGCGAGATTTCGCTTCGAGAAGTACGCCCCGGTTGGCACAGACTTTCTACCAAGGTATAATTTAATTTCATTCCTAAGTTTTATTCGCTTCATGCAGACCAAATTTGAGTGTTCAGCGTGCTTTTTTTTACGGAAATAATTATTCGCGTAACGGGATACGCGCGAGACAAAACGCGACAATGTGGCATTGTATGACGCGTGTGTCAATAATGTACCAGTTTCCTGGTTGTTCCTAAGTCATATTTTCCTCTCGGTGTCTAGGAGGATCAAAACGTACAAAAGAAAGACAACAGGGGCTTCATGGCGCATAAGTAACACTACGAATGCTCTTGAAAGTGAAGCAACAGCGTCACTCCCTTCGCGTTGCCGCCACACTTTTTGGCGTACCAAGGGATGTGCTTCAAAAGCGAGCAAAAAGACAAAAATATAAAAAAACTATGGCGCCACAAAAAAAAAAAAAAAAAAATGGCGAGGCGTTTGGGGGGGGCGATCGCCCCCACCGCCCCCCCCTTGGATCCGCCACTGCCTTGATGTCGTCTAGGACGACGATCTAGAGGACGGCCCCCAAGGACAACCTTTAGGACGACCTCTAAGAAGACCTCAAGGACAACGTCAAAGACGGTGTCTAGGAAAACATCAAGGGTGATCTCAAAGACAACCTCAAGGACAACGTCAAAGCCGTCGGGTCCTTCGAAGAGGATGCAAATGTGAAGGAATACTACCGCTTCGCATACGCACGACGCAATGGGGTGCAAGCACAGCGAGCTAAAATAGTCTACTGCACATTAAAGGGGTATGGAAATAAAAATTTAAATATTCAAATTTCGTTCAGAAATGGGTCAAGCATGACAGATGATAATCGCACGTTTGTATTCTGAACGACTGGCTCTATTTTTCGTTCCAAACTGTGCACTCGAGCAAGCGCTCGAAGAGAAGCGAACGGAGAGATATCCGGCGCAAACAAAAACAAAGATTTCCCGCATTCGTGGAGTAGCAAGGCAGGCGTGGTTATGAGCTTTGCCCTTGGTGGCATTGTCAGCGTTGTGGTGGTGTCAATAGCGTCAGCGCGTTACAACCGAGTCGTTCAAAGTACCCGTGGGGTGACAAATGTGTGGCTGGCCCAAGGAGCACGTAGCTTCCACAACACTGTCAGCTTAGGGCTGAACGGGGTAGGGAAAGCAACTTTTGTTCAAGTTTTGAGCGACGGCCTAATCTTCTAGGGGGAGAATGGCTGTGTCCGGTTGCACGAACGAGGATCCAAGAAAGAGGGGAGTCCTTCCTTTCAGTCTTGGACCGTTTGGTACAATGCGCGACTTGAGAGTTGAGGAGGAAAGCTAAGAGGAAAAATGTTGAAATGCCAAAGAGCGGCGCTGCTCCGAAGGAATCTGCTACGTCACGACTACGTAGCAGATTCCACAACGTTGCTAGACTACCTCCCAAATAGGCTCCGCATGCATCCCCCAGGTGCGCATTGAAAGATTGTTTATTTAGCTTTAAAATTAGTTTTCTTGTGCCTTTCAACGGAAGACTGGTATTTTTGAGGTTAGGGTGCAACATGCAACACATTCAAGCTAGAAAATGAGCGCTGGAATTTCGTTTCCCTACCCCTTTAAGTGGCTAGAAGATACATAGCTGAAAATCTTTAGAATCTTTAGAAGACAGCAAAATTGGATAAAAAATAAGCGATAAACACCACGGCACCCGCTATCAACTGCACGACGCGGGAACCAATACTACCGCAGATTGGAGATTCGGCAGATTTGCATTCTACGGTGCGATAAGCATGCAGGAACCCACTACAAACTCGAGTGTCACGGAAATCGATATCGTGAGCACCGATCACGGACACGTCAAACTCAGGTTTAATGGTGCAATGAACACTAAAGAAGCCACTACAAATCGCCTGTCACACATGCCGATACCACAGATTGCATGGTTGATGCGATTTCTGCCAGGCGTCGTGCGATGCTCGGTGGGAACCGGGGATGGGCGATGCTTCAGAATTTTTAACCTACGAATATTTCACCGGAATAGAAAAGGGCAATATGTTGGGAGGGGGCGTTTGTAGGCGATTTTACGGTGCTTATAATGAACTTGTCCAAGTTTCTTTTGAGGTGTCTGTTTTCCGTCGCTCCCGTTACGGGCGTTATTTGCGGCAGGAGGGAGGCACGATTTATTTAATGTTGAATCACAAAGGCTTCAGCAGATATCTCTTAAATGCGATAACATCTTTCGGCAGCCCCCCGGAAAAACCTGGATTTGTATTACGAAACAAATGTGAATGCGTGGGAGAGCAACGAAAGGAATAAATTGAGAAAAAAAAATTAAATTCTGAACGCCACAGGATCAAACTCGCGACCCCAAGACTGCGAGCCTGACACCCGATCACTGCGCCGAGGAGCCTATTGGCGAGTCGGAGATTATTAAACGCGAGAGCATTTCTTTTGCCAACCAACGCTGCACAACGCGCAGGTAGCACGAGCGGGTGACGTTGAGTTTCGCTCTTGACGCCACGCCGCACGAAGGCTCAAGCAGCGATGAAGATGCAATCAAATGCAAAGAGCACACTTTCAACAGAGGGCGCACCTTCAAAATGGGTCTACGATAGAAGTCATTTACAGTGCCTCAAAAGAGAAAGCAGTGGACTGAAGCACCGACAGTTTGCGTGTTCGTCGTGCCAATGAAATGTTGGAAGAAAGGGAACGGTTTTTGAGCTGGGGGCACAGAAACGAGGTGGGCTCGTTCTGCTACAACCGGAAGCCCGAGCGAGAAAACGAGGTTCATCTCGCTTTAATCGGCGGAATATGGCCTTCGTAGCAGAAACTTAGATATGGACCTTGCCTGCAGCAAAGCACCGTAGAAATGCAGCCCCATTTTGAAATACCTCGTTTTACTTCACAATGCAAAATAAGGGGTATATGTACACATATAGAAGCACCGAAGGCAGCGTGGCATTGAACACAAATGACTGGAATTATCGCGGACTGTTTTCCACTCGTAACTGCGGTTCCTTTTTTCACGTCTCTGGAGGGCTGCTTGTCCCGCCCGCTGAGGCTGCCTGTCTCTTGGCTTTCTTTGTGGCTCGATCTGAAAATGGGGAGGAAAAGAAAATAAGGACCAGCTGCTGTGCACTCCCCTCGATTGTGGAATTGTGGAACTGATACACTGAGGGACCCCTTCTACCGAAGGTGCATCAACACTAAAGGGGCATTCCAGAGATCTTTTTTAGCTGCCCCCAAAAAACTATATTTTCTGAATTGCCGACCCTTAACCTTCCCAGTAAGCTATTTAGTACTGCGAAATTCAAAATAAATATTCTCTTTTGCAGACGAAGCAGGGAGAGGGAGCACGGAGCACCCTCTCCCTGCTTCCTCCGCAAGAGAGATTTCTTTTTTTTTTAATATCGGGCAACCGCCGCGGCCGCCCGGGGGGAAAAAAAAAAAGCCAGCATTCTCTACAAGCTGGCTTTCCCCCAATCCAGCTGTTCGCGTTGGAAGAAAGCCAGCTTGCAGAGCGAAGCGGCGCTCTTGGCAATTCGATGAATCGTTAGCGGCTGCTATATTTGTTCGATGTAACCATAGCTTTTGCTATATATTATCACTGTAACATTACTGTGCACAAGAATGTTTGATATAAGGGATAATTCGATGTAAACGGATTCAATAAATTCGGCTTTGACTGTATAAAGGAACTTATTCACTCATATTGTCACTTTGCTTGAAGACTAATTTAACAGGAATGGCACACATGCTGCCGCGCACACAATCTGACCATGAAACGCTTGCTAGATTATTCTACTAATATACGCGGACCCTTCCCCTTCGGCAACCGGAAGCAGGGACACTGCGACGACGGTGACACCCCCGTTTGCTCATACCTTTTACCGGTAGTTCTACGCCCAGCTGCCAGGATCGCGACAACCGACGTCATGACACTCCGGCTCGTGTGGCGCCATCTGTCGCCACTTCAGAACCACTTTCTACGCATGGTTGGTGTAGGGCACAAAACACACCGGTCAGGAATGTGTTCCAAGCCGTAGTACGGTGCCTGGAACCAGGGGCGGATCCAGAACTCCGTTTTGGGGGGGGGGGGGGGAATTTATAATGTCAAACTGCCCTCCGAGAAGGGGAAAGGGAGGGGGTCGACTTTGTTTGGGGGGAGGGGGGGGGGGGCTGCCCTTGTCGCCCCCCTCGCCCTTGGATCCGCCCCTGCCTGGAACACATTCCCGACCGGTGTGTTTAGTATCCATTTCGCCCATGCATCCAAAGTGGTCCCCGTGTGCCGACAGATGACGCCACATGAGCTGGCGGCCAGGTGCAGGCGGCACAACTGTAGCGAAGGGCCGAACGTACGCTTGACAGGAAAGGTGGCCGGGATCTGGTTTCCCCGGAAGGCCACGGGCAGCACGACGCAAGGATCCAGCGGAAGCACCTCTTCCGGCCCCGCCAGGCAGTCGGCGTTCAGCGCAAACGTTCGCTGCTGCACCATGGTGTGCAGGTCCAGAGAGCTACGTTGGAGCGGAGAACGTGACGGTCAGATGCCGCCGGAGTTGCCGACTCAAAAAACAAAAAACCCGCAATACGAGTCCTGAAAAAACCCGCCGAATTTCGGACGTAGGGCGAGGACGACCTCAAATAAAATTTAACGCCATCATTCTGCTAAAACCAGTATTGTAAATAAAAAGAAACCTTGTAAGGAAGCTCTCATAAAGGACTCTTATTTGAATTCTCTGGGCTTATTTCATCCGGCAGACTCGGGAAATGCTTTCATACATTTGTGCACAAATCAGTTCATACACATTCCCACTGTAGTGTGTTTCAATGGCATCGCAAGCGTTACTTTCACCGACAACAATTTTGCTTAGATTAAGCGAAGATGACGACCCCATGACACTAACTTACTACATAACTTAAGCTATTCAGAATTGACAAAGGGAAACTTTAGAACATTGGGCATTAATGTGAATGCTCTCACCCTTTATCCCCGGCTGTCTTGAGCACCTGCACTGTTGTTCGATCCTTTTTGTGATCGAGGATATAGTGTCCGGGTTCAAGCCTGCATGGAAGTTGGCACTTGTCAGCGAGATGCACAACTAATGAAAGATAGGTTAGAATGACAGAAACACGGATTACCACTTTTTTCAATGGCAACGATCCGGTGAATTAAATAGGAAGGAAAAAGACGTTTAGACTTCTGCACCTTTTGCCCAGGAATTAGTCTGCTTCGGTTTTCAAACAAAGACCTACAGTTGGAAGTGTCCAACTGTTTCTTTGGGGCTCTTAAAGCTTTCACTTTGCCGTGCCCCGCTAAACTTGGCAGAGGAATTGTGACATCACATTGTGCGATACCATGACCTTGTGTTACACTGTGACATCGTGTGACACCACTTTATGTGACATTGTGATGTCACGTGACGCGACATGACACTGCAATGCGACGTGACCTTGTTATGTCATGCCATGGGAGATCAACTATCTCCCATGGCCTTGAATGGTGCGACCAACACTGACACGAGCCAGCAAGGTCCGTAAAGTGTTCTTGTAAAAAGCTATAGCTTAGAGGTATTGATTTGACAGTTCGCAACAAATAAATCTACTGTCACGGTGTTTTTAACATAGACTAGAATGTTTTACAAAGTTTTCTAAAAAAATCTACGTTCTTTGTCGCAAAGGTTGCCTGGGATCGTATCGTTGCAGGTTCTCTTCCGAGCCCGTTGTTAGACGTTTTGAATAATCTGCCGAGTCACTGCGATGCTTCCAGAAGATCTGCTTACTCTGAGAGTCGGCCAAGCACGTACGATGCTCGGTAGAACAGCTCGTCGGGTCTGGAAAAAACAGAACAAAATAATTCCTGTCAAAAAATTAAAAAAATTAAACGAAGGCTATCGGCTGAACCAAGGTCTGAACCTGCCTGATTGCATATACAGTCGACCCCAATCATATAGAATCCGGGTATTTCGAATTACTGTCTATATCAAAATTAGTTAATTACCCTTTTATCAAGATGTACCCGTTCCAAATGCAAAAAAGTTGAGTTCTTCCCTCTCACAACCATCAGGGTGCTCCCTACGGTGGGAGGCAGTGGCTTTGCCGCCCACCACTCTGGTTGACCATCCATCTGTACTATGTCCAGTTCACCTCTATATGTTACCTTTACTAAACAAAGCAATGCTGATCTTGAAGATGTGCGATTCCCCGGACTATTGTGTTGGGCAAACATGTGCCCACAACAAGACGAACTACCGTATTTTCCGGACTATAAGTCGCACCCTTGTATAAGTCGTGCATCCATATATTGAGCCGTTTTCATGCCAAAGTTGGTATATAAGTCGCACCTCTTTGCGTGATTCACGCAATGAGTTCTTCAGTTAGCGCGCATTGGTATCGCGAAATCAGAGTTTTGCACAATTGCTAGATCGCAAGTACCATTTGACGCGCATTTCGACTTGCAATGAATGCCCATAGTATGGTGCTGTCGGGGGGTGCAATTGAGTGTTTCACAGCAAAAGGACGTGAAATGTGTAAAATGAGAGGGTATTCTACGTTATTCTAGCGAAAGCATGCCGAGTGAACGAAAATTTAGGGAGCTAGACACTCGCAAACCAAGTTTCGGAGCACTAGGCCTAGCCTAAGCCAAGTCCTGGAGACGACGCGAGCATCGATGCGCAGGCATAAAGATAAACCTTGACATACTTTTTTTTGGTACTTCTAAAAGATTGGCTAGCCACAATCCTTCTTTTTACATTTAACAACACGGCTGGAGCAAGGCACAAAAGAACTGATCATCAAACGGAAACTAAAAAGGACGTGAGAAAATATTCCGTGTATACCAGCCCTCTTACTTTTCAGTGTTACTGGACTGAAGCAAAATAGTTTGGAACCATGGCTGAACTAGGTAACATCAATAACATGCTGTAAAGGCTTCATTCTGACTCACTGTCTTGCCTATGCACATTCAGCCGTTTCGGGGAAACCATAAAAATTAAAATATCTTGCATTGCGAGTCAAAATAGTGCAGCGACAGCAGTGCCTCTTGGAGGGGGAAACACCACCTATGGCTATGTAGTTGTGGTGCTCTACAAAAGATGGCGCGTGGCAAAAAAAATGGTGTCGCACCTCGAAAACAAAACGAGAAATCTTATAAAAGTTGCATTGTTTTATAAATCGCACCAAGAAAAATGTTTGAAAAAAAATGTGACTTTTGCACCGGAAAATACGGTACTAATCCTTGCAAACAAAATCACTGCTGCAAGGCAAAGAAAGTGCCGGGAACACTAAAAATTGCAGCAATTGCCCCCACCTCCTTTCCAACGCTCTGGAAACTGTCATATGTCCACATCTCAAAAACTTCTGGGGAGAACCCTGACAACCATATATCGCAAGAACAAATTCTTCGGAGAGTAGTCTGCACTCTGTGTGTAGTCTGTAGGGACTAATTTCAGCTGAAAAAGGAAGTTTTCCCTTCAATAACCCTCACTCGGTGCAAATCTGCACCTGGTGCGGACCATACACTAGATGCGGGCTATCGAACACAACACCTCGACAAATGTCCGCTTTATTTGCTCACAAATGAAATGTACATAAATCATCAATAACATACCTTGTCATTCACAAAATCTGTCATGCCTCGTCGTAATGAACAATCTAGAAAAAAACTAATCCTTGCCTAGTCCACACCTGTAAATAGTTCGCCCTGTTTAAAATTCCAAATGTCATTAAACATGCATAGTCTGCAGAGTCCAGAAAACACGTATGATAATTTGCACAACATACAAACTATGCGCAAAGTTGGCTTTTGTTTGTTAACCCTTTGACGGCCATCGCCATGCATGTCCGACGGTGATTACTACATTTGAAAGTGCCCGTCTACGCGCGAAACCACGGGCACCGTGGGAGGTGCTGCTATTTGCTATGTCTTTGGGGAACTATATATAAACGTTATATCTGCACGGTGTTTGCTAGGAAATTTTATAGCTTTGAAATTAGATGCTTCACGCACGTAATGCATGCGAGATGAACGTTTCACATGCCGGCTCCTCTGGCAGCACTGGCGATTGGAGCACCTGCTCCTCCAATTCAGACTTTTAACACTTCTCAGAGTTGAAGAAACTTTGTAAAGTAGGAGTCTGAAATCTGAATGTAGGAGTTAATCGACGTGCCAAAATGAAACCGATGGAAGAAAGGTGTTTCCATTTGATGCATCTAAAGGTAAACAGATTGCAAGCACTGTGCATGTTTCCACTAGATAATTAAAATATAATAGTAATGTACGCAATGACTTTTCCTGCATGCTGTTTTTTTGTAAACAAAGTCCGACCACTGGGAAACATTGTGCAAAAAACTCGACCGTCAGGGGGTTAAGGCTGCCACCAAGCCCACCAGGTGCCCCACCCTACCCACCAACTCCCAAGCACCCATACCTGAAGCTGCTGCTGAGTGTGGGGAGGTCGCCGGTGCCCAACTCCTCCGTGAGCAGGACCTTGCTGCTCCTCACGTCCACCCGCACTGCGTAAGGACGACGGGTGCTTATTCACAAGTCGCGAGAGTCGCCAGCCAGTCACTGGAAAGCTATGCTCGGAGGATCACCACCCCCTTTATCCGAATGTCTATAGCCACTCGCAAGGTGGGAGTGGCAGGGAGAAATGTCGGTTGTCTGCCTTGTGCGCACAGTCGAAGCACGCCAGAACGCATAGAGTGTGTGCTAGAGGCACCTTTTCACTCTGGCAGCGACTAAAACATTGCCATGGCACTTATTCGCCTGCTTGCAACATGTGTTGTTTGGCGGCGGCTGTTGGCGACAAATTTCCTGTAGTAGAGGGTCCGATCGAGAAAGGTAAACCCAGCTTTCTTAGCCCGTATAAATAAACCACACATTTCAGAGAGCCGGAATACCGTGAGAAAGTGACAGCAATGGTGATGATAAAATGCAAAAGTTTGAGCGGGCGACATCAGCTGGATCAAAAGATACAAAAGAAAAACAAAAGTTCTGTATGAGCCGACGTCCACCTAAGCCTAATTTGCATCCTATTGATATTTGAGATTGGGGACACCTGTAGCATTTATTTCAGTGAAAAAATTTTTGTCAGTTAGAAAGACAATATTGTTTTCTTTTTTGCTCACAAGTTTCTTAAATCACTGACATTATTACTACACGCAACCACAATCTCAAATTTCAATTTGATGGATATTGGGCTTGGGTGGACATCGGCTCACAGAATTTGTTTTTCTTTTGTACCTCTCGATCCAGGTAATGTCATCACCACCACCACCACTAGCGTCACATTCTCACAGAGTTTCAGCTTTCTGCGAAGCGTAGTTTGTCTATGCGATAAGCCAGGTTTAACTTTCTCGATTGGAACCTATGGATAGGCTGTAGACGTTGTGGTTTTAACTTAAAAACACCGGTAAACATCCGTCAGTGTTGAAAGTACAAAATCCAATGAAACCAAAAAATGCAGATTTCTAAAAAACTTACTTCCATCTAGGACTCTTTTCATCGAAACTCTCCCAGCCTAGTCTTGAACTCTGAACTTTTTGTTAGCACATTGATTACTCAAGCAAACACGGTATCTAAAAGCAAGAAGTGAAAACTTAATAGAGAGGCATACAGTCTAAGCTCGTTATAACAGACCTTGATTTTGACCAAGATTTCGGTCTGTTGTAACAGGAGTATGTTGTATGCAGATATGAAGTTGAGTCAATGGTATGTAGAGGAAAACCAACCGAACTTCATATATCGGTATGCTATATCCAAATGTCTGTTGTAACCAGGTCTGTTGTAATGAGCTTAGACTGTAATAGGTTACAGTAGACCTGTGATGCCTGGAGCACAACCTTAACTTGCATTTACCGCATTCCAATTTGTGGTTTCTCGACTTCCGACGGCGTCACATTTGCATCATGATGACGCTTGCCTCGATCCTAGGAGGCAACTGCACAGCGGCGGGGACGCCCGTTCTGCCCTAGGTCCCTCTCCAACTTGAGAGTTCATAAAAGTTTCAGCAGTCTACAGTAGGGACACAATAGACAACAGTGACATTGGCGTTTACTTTTTTTTTTTTTTCTTTTGTTGGAATTATTACAGCCAACCCCCAGGATCATGACATCCAACAGCAAGACAGGTCGGCTGCTGTGACGTAACTTGTTGCCGCTTCAGGACCACTTTCGATGCATGAACGATGTAGTAAGCAAACCAGACCAGTCGAAGATCAAGGGACTGTAGTAAAGCTAGTGAATGCATCTATTGAGATTGGAGAAAGAATAAACATGTAAAACACGGACAAGACAACCATATCTTTTATGAAAGATGTGGTTGTGGGGTCCCTGCAGTTTGCAGACCTTCATTTGTGGTTTGCAGACAACCTCCCAGGTGGCGCTCATTACTCGAAAAAGGTCCATTCCGGATAAGCGTAATCAGCAAATTGGAGAACTCTGCTTGTTTCTTCGGTTCGTGCGGACGCTACGAAATGTGGTAGTCCGGGAATGTTCAGTAACTCCGAGTTGCAGGAAGCAGGAGAGACTCGCCCCTGAGCAGACGGCTGTTTGGTATGAAGACGAGGTGCGCCATCTGCCGGACCAACTCTGCCCTGGTGAAGGCCTCGGCGCCGTACTTGGCATTGTAGTCCAACTTGGAGAGCACGCTCCACTGTCAGGGCATGTGAGGAAAAGGACGGCAATGTCAAAGGGGTCTATCCCACGGGTAGAAATCAGGCTTAAACTGGTTGCATGGACATTTATACGGGAAAAAGTCAGCCTTCTCTGAATTAAGTTTCTGCTGCAGAGAGAAATTTGGCTGCTGCAATATGACAACTAACCCTGTGAAAGCTGCCCCTCAGGGGACACAGTTGCCCCTGAAGAAAAAAACGAGAACTAGATTTAAAAAGAAGTGTGGCAACCAATTCAAAGAGTAGGAAGCATGCATGGCATGGGGAGTCAAGGTCGTATCACGGCGTAACGTAAAGGCAGGCTCACACACTTGCTTTTGGTTGGGACAAGATGTGTTGCACAGCCTTGTGCTTTCGTGTGCAAGAAAACACACTGGCACACCGGCGTCATCTAAGAGGTAGCCATAAAATAGCATTTAACTAGACTGAAGGTTTGCCAGTATTTGAGGGATAAGGAATTTTATGGCCAATTGCTAGGCAATTTTGTCGGATACGTTAAAACATGCTTGCATCACAAAAGCTTAGTGATTCTCTTGAGATGCCAGTTGCCAACATTCATGACACTCTTCATTGGGTAATTTAATGCGTCGCATGTGTGCACTTGATAGCTGTTCTTAGAATGAAGCGATACTAGTGCTAATCGGGCTGATAAACCTGGCGATCTTTCAGAGCCTTGCATACTCTTAAGCTCCTCTCCCTCGGTGCGCACAGGTGGTGGAGCTCCTCCTAGCCTACCTCACTCCTCCTCACCTACCCCCCTGGTGAGACGACCTCCACGCGTTAACAAATTAGCGTCGAGGACCTCACTCTTTTTCTCCCACCCGATAATGACAATTATCAGTGTGAAACTTTCTTTACTTCACAAAACGCCGAACATGCACCTATCCAAAGAATGTTTCACATTAAAACATGCGACAAAGTGTCAAGTTGTTATCTACCGGACGCAGAGCAGACGCCCCGCAGGGCTTTCCCGCCAAATGGCATCTCGGCTCACGGCAATGTGTTTCGACATGCTGGGAAGACGCTCGCTTAATAATATAGATGATTTGGTTTCAATTCCTACCTGGTGCAAACACTTTTTTTACTGTGACTCTTCCCCCCCCTCAAGGCTTCAGTTTTGGGCTTCACGAAATGCCGAACACCTAGCCAAAGAACTTTTCCCATTAAAAGTACATCTATGAGTAATGGCAGTTTATAACATCGTCAAAAGATTTTGAAGACCCCAGTAAGAATGTGATATGCACAAAATAAAAGAGGAAACGTGTGCAACTCGCAAGTTTCCAGGGCTACCTGAACAACTCACAGCACCAATTTGTTCGCTCGTCGCGAGTGATCGAAAGGCTGCACAAAAAACGCACTCAATCGCAACCACGCAAGTGTGCCAGGCAGCTTTGAGACAACACAGCCAAACACAACCCACTGTGTGAGTGGGCCTCAATTGCTGTCACATGCAAGGCAAGCACAGCACTCACCCTGTCGTTCCCGTTCTCTGCAATGGCGTGCGCCCGAACTCGCAGCAGGATGCGGCTTGCACCCATCTCCCAGAGGTGGTAGCAGACGCTCTCGGCATCTGGCAGAGGAGGCACGCCGTCGCCGCCACCGGCTCCTGCCACGCAGCGAACTGCTGTCACGCTGGCTTTCTCAATCGGTGCAAGGCATGCACACTTCTGATGCTCAGTCACCAGCAATGCGAGCAGGAACCGGGCAGCCAGACTACTCAGCTTAACGGGCAGCGAGCGAAGTGTTGGCAGCAGTGCTCGAATTTGTGGATGCCATTCCCTGAGCAATACTCGCGCTATTGTGTACGTGGCTAAGGATGGGGAGGTATCGTGCGCAGGGCGTGCATCCCCACATTTGAACGTTGCGCCACTGCTGCCGACGAGTGGTTCCCATTTCGACCCATTCCCATTTTAACCTTGCCGTTTCTACCTTTCCATTTTGATTCAGCCCAAAACGACCTTCTCGTTTCATCTTTTCTCATTCCGCCCTATCCCCAAAAAACCTTACTGCTTCTACCATTGTTCGTTATCAGTTGGGTTGGTTCGTCCGTTATTGTTCACTATCAGCTGGGTCGGTTTAAGCATCCAATGTCTGTCCTTCTTGGTGACCTCATTTTGCTCTTTCCCAAAAGAACCTTGGAGATTTGATGACCAAAAGTCACTTTTTGCATGCTTTTCTGGTGATTGTGGTGCCTGCAGTGCTGCAAACGGGAATAGCAGTTATCGCTGTCGCCGGCACAGGATGCCTCGCTCGGGCTTGGCTATTTAGATGACACCTGGAGGAATGGCCATTTTTCCATACAACAGTGGAACCACCATGGAAACCGAGGACCACAGACCAACCACCAGATGGAGTCCTGGCACCGTAAGATAAACGCGGTGTCAGGGAAGGCTCACCGAAACATTTACAGCTTCATTGATCTGATCAAATGGGATGAGGCCTCGACAAGGATATCTTTGCAGCAGCTTGCAAGTGATGGCGCCATGCGTGTCAGAGGGCACAAGTGGGTCAGCAAGGACCGCGAACTATCAGAATTGGCGTGTCACCTTTCTGATATCACGATTTCCCCGTTCGACTTCCTCAACAAGGCGAAGGCATTTTCTGGTCTATAATTTTTTCCCTGCGTGCGCGAGGGTTCAGTTCTTGAAATTGTAAAATAATAAAATTGCAGTCATATGCCTATCGACCTTCTGATTTATCATACTCCAAAATATCTAGTTCACTATTAGAGAGTTCTAGAATGACGTATGCGAGCATTTTGGGTACCCTAAAAATAGCGTTGTGATATAAAACCATTGGCAACAGTAATTTTAGCTTTGCCAAAGTGCTTGCATACATTATTCTAAAACTCTCTTATTGTACAGAGAGTGACACAGTTAGCGCAAAACAAGCAATCCTCAGTTTTCGCTATTTATCTCACAGAATATAAAAAGGCTGCCATCAAAACTATTAGTGTCATTGGAAGTGCTCATCTGAGCCACTAACCTAAGCGGTAAAATAGAGTGCCTACTACCGTATAATACCGCCCATCCGCCCATTCCACATAAAGCGGCGCCCATCTCCTAATTTGTAAGATCTGAGAAAATACACACAGTACATTTATATGTAAAATTGATGACCGGACAAGCACCCCCATCCCCCATTTCTTGTGATTATCTCTGAAGTGTGAGTGGGCGCTTGCCCGGTATTTTACGGTAATACCATTTGGAAGCTAAATTCGATAACGCCCCGACGTCATGTTCGCGGTAACAGTATCGCGCAGTGTATATAGTCCGTTTTGCGGTTACACGTTTTGGGGACCATCTTGAAAAAAATGTTTTAAGTGGTTGAGGTAGGAATATATTACGTTGAAGCTTGTCTGAAAGGGTTGTATATTTTAAGAATACCATTACGTTCTGAGAGAATGCTCGCCCCCGAGAGATCGGCCATCCTATTTTTCTGGCTAAATATCTGTAACATAAAAATTCAGAAGCATTGCCTACCCCCCGATTCCCGTCAGACGTCACACGCTGTCTGACGGGAATTGCATCAACCGCGCAATTTGCTGTACCGGCAGGTCTGGCAAGCGAGTTCAAAATGGGTTCCTGCGTTTTTGTCCACGATGTGAGCGCGGGATGTTGGTTCCCGTAACACGTGAGTTGCTCTCGTGTATGTTGCACAGTAAAATGTGAATCTGCTGCGTCCGCAATCTGCGGTATCCATTCCCGTGTCAAAGTTCGTAGCGGATTCCCGCGTTTTCGTCCGCGATCTGCGAGCGCAATATCGGTTCCCGTGCTAGGCAAGTTTGCAGCGGGTCTCCACGGGATTATTGCACCATAAAACTTGAATCTGCTGAGTCCGGGAATTGCGGCATTCCTTTCCGTGACAATGCAAGTTCTCGGCGGGTTTCCGCGGGTCCTTCGTACCGTGAAATGCGAATCTGCTGCATCCACAACCTGCGGCATCTTTACCTGTGACACAGGAATTCGCAGCGAATTCCAGCGTGTTTATCGCACCGTGAAACGCAAATCGGCAATGTCAGTTCCCACATCACATGGTTTGTAGCCTGTGCCACAGTGTTTATTATTAATTTTTGATAAAGTTCTGCTGTGGCATCCCCAAAGATAGCCTGCCCCATGTTTTTCACGAATTATCTCCTCATTTTGGGTGGGCATTCTTTCGAAACTTTACGGTAGTATGTTCACGCGTAAAAATATTTCAGAACATGTTCTTAAACAGAAAAGGTGCGCAGACCATTGAAAAGGCACTGAAGCTTGTCTGAAAGGGTTTAAATGAAAAGTGCATTTCGGTAATGGGTTGTAACGGGACGGGTTCAAACGGGAATTGGGCTACATCCCTGTCGACACTTCACTCGCCGCCCACTAAACTGCAGGATCTGTACTGCCTGGTCACCGCTCGGCCGTTCCAACTCGTATTGCTGGTGATTGTGCCTCCGTGTAGTGTCTCTGCTCCATTGTGGGCAGCTTTACTTAAAGGCGGCACTTCACCCCCTAAAAACATTGTTTCTCAGTGCACGACTAACATGTCTGTGACAAAAAGAACTTTCCCCGAAAAAAGAAATAATATTTGTAGCGCAATATGAGACATTTTCAGTTAGAAGCGATTGTGAAACTAACTCCCAGTTCGGGGTCGATGTACTGAACACTTTCCCACAATGTGTGCAAACGCACTCGCTCAACAGCTCCTAGATATAACAAGGCTGTAGTGCTGTATTTTCTATGTCACCAATTAGAGGCCAGCGCATGGCAAAGATTGCACACGAATGCTGCGTCGAAGCAGCTGAAACTCGTGTTTAATTGGCAAGGACACCGGTTCTCGCCAAACGCCGAGGCAGTGCTCGTGTCGAATCCGTGCCCTGCGTGACTGTCTTCCATTAGACAGGAGTGACGTGGGAAGAGTGTTACAGGAAACTGCGGGGAACCAGCCATGGAACACAATCTACCATTATTCCCAATATATAAGTCACAGTTTTTTTTTTTACGAAATTGCCTTCAATAAATTTTATACGACGGTGCTCTAAGTATGGACCTTAACTGCAAGTTTCCCACGAGGGCTATATATCCTGTTCGATTCATTGACAAGAATGTTGAAACTGGCTCCTGCTTGTGCATGTATACTGTGATCACAACACACATAGTACGAGGGCTTATCAATGCCGTTTCGCCGAACCGACCACACAAATATATAAGTGCAACCTATAAAAGGTGCGGCTTATATACCAACTTTTTCTTGTGAAAACACCCGTTTATAGGGAGTGCAACTTATAGACCAGAATATATGGTATGTTAAAACAAAAATGGCAAGTTTTGGCTGGAGGTTAGAAGGTGTTGACAACCAAGTGTCCAACCGTTACCTGTGCTGGCGTGAGCATTCTGCGCCGATCCCACACGATCCGTTGCAGATGCCTTCTGCTCCGAGCTCTCCTCACCACGATCCTGTTCGGTCTTCAAAGCAGACGACGCGGTGCCTTCCTACAAAAAGCAAACCCAACTGAAGCTACGCCGAACAAAACAGAGAACACTATCAGAGCAGCAGCAGAAGCCATACAATAACATAATAAATTATGCTCGTGCATCACGGATGTCGTGCCACCAAATTTACACAGTAAAGTCGCGGTGACCTGTGATTTCTACCCACATTAGGCTTGCGATAATTCAAACTCAGATATATCATATTTCTGGTTAATTCAAACAAAGTTAAAGACGTTGGTGCAATTTATACTTTTTGCTCTCATGTGCATATTCAAAAATTCAGTCCGCCTAAAAGCCGTCATTCGTGATTGGCTGTCGCGTGCCCTCCCCTGCTGCCTTCCCGTCCGGTGGCGCCCCCTGGTGTTCTGCGCTAGGGCGCAGGAAGGGGGGCGTGGCACAATTTTTTGCCTGAATTTTTAATGGGGAAATCGGCCGCGCTTGAATGCAATTTCGGGTTTTTTTAGAATGCTTAGAGCCCGTAGATTGAGTTACGACAATAAATAGACAATCTCAGAATCCACTTGAGTGCCCCAGGTGTCTATATAGGTAGAAAATGGTTCACGTTAGGAGCGTCATATCTCAAAAGATTGGAGGGAAACACATTCAGGACGGCACCAAGAAAACAAGAACCTGCAACCGGGGTCTAATATGACGGATTCGTTCCACCCGTTCTGTTCACGAATCCCGAGTGAAAGTTGACCACCATCAGAGCAACTGTGAATTCAGCATCCTCTAAACTAAAGAATTCGACTAAAAGTGCTTACGTCTGGAACATCCTCATCTACGGCGGTGGGTAACTGTTCCATTTCGCTGGGCCGGACATCCCCGCTTCCCGTCTGGCTTTGCTCTGTAGGCACGACCCCCTCGAGTCTCTCGGCTGGAACAGCGTCTGCGACGAGATTGGAACCCATTCTGGAGCTGTCCTCTGGCCATTTCAGCCTTTCTGATATGGGGACTTATGGCTGTTGCACAGTCTCGCGTAGCAGGCCCTCTTATCGTGAACACAAATGTTGCCAGTTTCCATCTGCACAAAAACCTGATAAATCAGGGCCGACTTGCGGAAAACAAAGGAGGCCACCAATAAGACGGTCTCGCATGCTCGTGTTCTCTCGAGGAATTAAGTGGCACTAACGTAACAAAAACGGTAGCCCTTCTTATTAGATTAGTTTATTTTACTCTGTACTTTATCTTACCGTTGGCGGCGGTTCTCACGCTGTGTGATACGCAGTCCGTGTCCTGTCAAGGATATATCCCTACAAGAAAAGTTATCTCTATGCGGGAAAATGAGGGAGAAGAGGAGACAAAAGCGCGGGGACGTAGGAACGCTGTGCTCTGGTTGGAATGATTAGAGGGTAGACACAAAGCCTTTGTCTCTACTCACACTTCGAACTGCCAAACGCCGGCGTCCAGGGCTCTGCATTCAAAGAGTGAGTAGACAGAAAGGCCTGTAGGTAGACGTTTCACGTCTACCCACAGATCATTTCAGTCAGACCTTGGCATTTTGATGTTTGATGTTGAGGTTTCTCGGCGCATAGCTATGGTTATGTGTTTTCAGTCAGTGTACAGGGTGTTTTTTTAGAGACCAGAATAAAAGAAAAAAAAAAGGGAACTTGAGCAAAGGATTTTTTTTTCGCCCTGGGGCTAGACTGGGGTCTATGGGGGCAATTAGAAAAGATATTAAATTGGTTAATTAGTTAGCTAATCAACTAAAAAAGATTTCATTAAGGTGGGACAATACCAAGAAAAAAAACATTTCTGGAAAAAAAAAAGTTGATTTTGAAAAATGCCATATTTACATCCACCAACATCTGGAGAGTATTCCCAGAAAGTTGCATTAGTTTACACCGCATAGTTAATATTTTATAAATTATTTTCGGTCCTCCGATGCTAAAGAAAAGGCAGGGGTTGGAACACTTTGGACGCATATTTTTCCGTTTCACTTTTTGTAATAAATTTCACTTTAGGAAAACTTTCGTTTGTTAATGAAACAAGAAGAAAGACTCACTAGTTGTTTTTCCTAACTGGAATTTTATAGGCAATGCAACTGTGGAATTGTTTTTTTGACTGTGAGGATGTCTTTTGGAAACTATGTTAAGATTTTCTCGACGACATAAAACATAAAATATTTATTTGATTTTTCACTGCGATGTTAGCATAAAATAAATTACTTTTTGAAAATTTGGTTTTCAGAATTGCACTGTCCAGGCATCCTGCTGCAGGTCTAGAGTAGAAAAATGTTGAATATTAAATTAGTTTCCTTACAATAGTTTTCCTAAACAAAGTCGGTCTGCTCCTGATAAAAACAGCTATAATTTATTTTATAATTCATGTACACAGATGAAACTTTGCACTGTATTCTGCCTTGCAACTGCCAGCAATACTGTAAATTTAATCCATATTAAGCCATAGGTTCAAAAGTTGACCTTCTTGAGTAGTGTCCCCCCTTAACTTCTATAGTCAGTTACAGGTTAAAAAAAGTTTTCGAGGGAAAAGAGGGCTGGGGAGGAGGAAGGAAACGCAACGCTGGAGAGGAGAGCAGGAAACCTCTTCCCTCTAGCGTTCCGTCTGCTTCCTCCTTCTCAGCCATCCTTTCCCTCAAAAACTTTTCTTAATGTGCAACAGACTATAAAAATATTTGAGGATACATAACGTAGGTACATAGTTGGAGAATTAATGCTCGACTTCATTCTAGTCCAGTCGCGACATATAATTTGAACTAGACAATGTCTAGTGTGCACCATGAGCCCAGAAATGTCATCTTCGTGCACAGCTTCAAACTGACACTAACTGGCGAAGCGTGCTCGTGATGTTGATCCCTCCGCTCTGCAGTTGCATCACACTGCTGACATCACCTGTGGCACGAACACGTGGGTTGTGCAGCAGACGCACGACGGAAGAATCGACGTCACGAGCACGCTTCACCGGTTAGTTTTGATTTGAAGCCACGTACAAGGATGACAATATCTTGTCCTGTACACCCACTACGTATGTTTTCAAAAAAGTTTTGCGTCATGGCTAGACTCCCGGCAAAAAATGAAATCTGAAAAACACCCTCAGAATTTGATGAAAAGTAGACTTTCAAAAACATGGAATGCTAGGCGGCGTGCGAGCTGGCCCCACCTTGTGCCACTGGCCCGACACCCTCGTCCGGCGGCTCGTCCTCGTCGATGACCAGGTCGTCGTCGATGACCAGGCCGTCGCTGCTCGGCGTGGGGCTCCGGATGGGAGACTCGCTCGCCCGTCGGCTGCAGTACGCACACTGCTGCTTCGCCCGCCGCGTCACGATGCGCGATGAGCACGAGCATCCACTTTCCGCAGAACCCCTGGGCGTGGTTGGTATCCTCTTTGTCGGACTCCTGCTCGAACTCCTGCGAGATGCCATCCAAACCCGGTCTCAAATCACTGAGCACTCCTTTTAGTTAACCTGCTTCCGATCGTTGCACACCAACTAAATCTCCCAGTCCCGAGCGACACTGGGTGTTTTGGGAGAACAAAAAAAAAAAATGGTTCTCTCTTCTAGCAATAAAAAACTATGCAGTACTGCTCGGCCTTCCCCCAAACGTAGTGCTAGTGGTTGGAACCAAATGCCAGTTTAGAAACTCATCATTCCAATTCAAAAAGCGATTTTTTGAAATTTGAAACGAGCAAAGGGTGCCCAACGGACCCTCCAAATACACGGAGATGAATTACTTGTTTTGGGAATGCGAAAAGATGTGAGCCATTGGGGCATAATTTTGGTCTCCAATTGGAAATTTCCAAAAATCGCTGGCAACTTTTTATGAAGATAACGGTAAGTTGTGGAAATTCATCATCTGGCCCCAACCATTAGCACTGCATTTGGGCAGAGTCTGAACGTCAAGCAATGCACAGTTCACATTTGCAGCGAGAAAAATGTGCTTCCTTCCTCTCCCAAAAGCTCGGTACTACTCTAAAACCGTGCCAAAAAGTTGTAGGTCGACGCGTTTTATCGACCATTACGTTTGCTAACGGCAGTTCTGTCGAGCTCCCAAGGGGATAAGAGGACAAATTTCCCAATTGTCTTGTTTGGCTCCCCGGTTCTTACGACCAAAAGCTACCGCCCGACACGTCCATTGCGACATATTGGACTGCCCACAGCAGTTGCGTTCTTCCTTTTAAACCACTCCACATTCTTTTTCACCCGCCTCTTGAAAATACCACCAGAAGACTTCCAAACATCGTCACTAGCGGATCCGTGCAGTGCCACTTAGTTTGCATCTATGCTGCCTCCGAGCACGACGCCAGCATGCGGCGATAAGACGGACGTGTCCGGCGTTTTGATACTCTCATCAAGCTCCAGCCCGCTTGCCGCTTCTGGCAGGTTGGAAATCTGCCGACGATGACGTCGTGCGCGGGCCTCGTCTTTCAGGTGGTGTCGCCCTTGCCCGGTGGACACCATGCTTTGAATCAGGCTCGAAAGATTCGGTCCTTTGCAATCACTATCTCGTCTTTCTCTGCCTTTATCCGACGTGTGTATGGATTTTTTTTGTGCCTAATTTCGCGCCAAGTTCGGACTTCGTAGTCGTGCACCCCAGGCCGCACGTCCCCGGCGCGAGCGCCTCAAGTTTCATTATTTTGCGTCAGCGTGCTAGGGGCGACGGCACGTACGGAGGAGCATAAAAAGTTTGTTTACTTTTAAAGGTTGTAGAAAACCTTTCGGCCTTGCCTCCACGTGCCCAGTGCCGAAGCCTACATTCTTTGCCGGTGTGAACGCTTGATGTCTCCTCCATCTTCAGTGCCAAAGTTGATATTCCCCCCTAGTCTGGGACCATCACGTAAACAGTGCCACGGATAGCAGGCTTGCTTACCAGCAAACATTTGTCAAGGTTTGTGTTCCAGTACCAATCCGGGATGTCTCGCCAGACAGGTGCCACAGCGCTCGCCCATGGCCTTATATGAGCGCAAGATTCTCAGTTGGATCGCGAGGGGTTGCGAGACAAAGGAGTCGGGATGGCTATATTACACAATAGCAGGGGTGGTCAGAACAGCCTTCATTTGGGAGATTTTATTTGAGACTCGCGATTTGACAATCTTCAGTTTGGGTCTGGCGTTAGAGGTCCTTGAGGGACAGTATCCATGGGGTCCTTATCGGGAGGCTTCATCGAAGGTTTTGAGTAGAGTCTCAACTCATAGGTAGTCTTTGGTAGAGGGTCTCGATTCATGGAGGGAGCCGTACAGCTGCAGCTGCCACCGGAGGAGAATGGGACTTGTTGTGACGGAATGTGAGTTGATGAACTATCTAGTTGAACTTGCTGTGTTGTGCGACTTCCTTGGAAACGACTGGAGCATGGCTTGATTGAATCGGGTGTAGTACAAGGTGGAACGATCCCACTTTAATCTGGCGCCCAACATGGGCCTCAAACCCACAACCCTGAGATTAGGTCGGCATTCTTCGATTACAATTACAGACCACACTTAATTTGAGATCACAATGCCCCCCCCCCCCCCCCCCCCCCCCCCCCCCAAAAAGAAAGTCAGCCTGTAGGAGTCTAGTTGTACAATATGGTTGCTTCCCATAGCCATGGAAGTCCACAGGAAACAAACTGGGGAAAGAATTACTTAACGCCTCGGCTTTCGTCATTGTAGTCCCTGGAAAAACATACCGGGAAGTTCTATTCTGATCATTTATTTGTTTAAGCAGCAAACAAATCTTGTAAAGCTATATTGACCACAAAGACGAGACCAGAGTGCATACTTCTTTTTTGGAAGCACCAAAGGATGAATTTACACTCAATCGAACAATACAAGTGAGCATTGTAATTTCCCTACGTGGAGCTGCGCAGTTTAGGTCAATTCTAATTCTAGTGAAGCACCGCCGTGGGTGTTGATTTTGGGAATAGGTGCAAAATCAAAAAGGCAGCCTTCACTTGCCTCAACCGCGGTGACATCAGCTTCACCTCAGTCCTGTCGGGGGAGGCCGCAGAGTCCGGCAAGATATTTTTTAGAGCTGGTGCAGCACTAGAGTGCTCGGGGGGTGCTCCCTCACTGCTGTTCCTGGAAAGTGGTGCAGTGCCAGAGCCCTCTGGGGGTGCACGCTCATTGCCCTCCCTGGGAACTTGTGCAGCACTGGAACAATCCAAGTGTGCCTCCTCAATGGCCCCTCCGGAAAGTGGTGCAGCACCAGAGCACTCTTGGGGTGCTCCCTTACTGCCTCCTGGTGGAGACAAAGGGACAATCTTGGGCTCAACTCCAAACGTCTCCATGTCCTTGACTGGTCCGAACAGATCGTCGATGAGCTCAGGCTCTTCTTTGGTATCCTGTCCAGCTTGCGGAGTCACCTGCGACGAAAGTCGTTTCGGAGTCGGAAAATATTACCCCTCCCCCATTTTTGCTTGATGGATGCTGATTTAAATACCAAAGAAAACTTTAAACTTTTTGGGATTATGACTAGAGTACCATATTTTCGGTATATACTAATAAACCTCAAAAAGTAACCCCCAGCCAGTTTTATTAAATTCATGGACAACAGAAAACCCCAAATGGAAGCTGTCCTTCAGGGATAAGCAGTATTTCAAAAAGAAGCATTTTAAATATGTACTTAAAACACTTAAAATACATTAAATATGAAGTATTTTGCACTTCATATAATTTAATGTATTTATTGATCTTATTTAAATACCGAAAATTTAGTAGTATTTCAAATACTGCCTAAATTTTGGGCACTGTACTTCACTATCAAATGCAATTTTGGGCACTCTTTGCAATGGGAGATATGTGCTAAGAACATGAAACTTCCTGCAAGTATACTTGACCTCTTTTGCCGTGCTTCTCAACGGGCGGATTGTAAACAAAAAAGTTTGAAATGAGGATTTAACGCAGGTGGCCGATTTTTTCCGGCGCACAATATTTCGACAAGCCTCACATGAAAAGGGTGTTAATAGCTTGAAATTTGGACGAAGTCTCTCGTGTTGCCAACGAGGGGATAAACCACTGTCGTACCGCCTGGGCCATCATTGCAAAGCAATGGCTACTTTCCCCAGCTGTCCACGATAATACAAACAGGACGGGGTCACGGCACATACCTCATTACTTTCCTAGCCAGTTGAGTCGTGAATACTATGCTGACATTCATTTTCTATGTGATATACAGGCCTGTGCATCTCAAACCTTCTTCATAAACAGCTTTTGAAGAAAAGGGTAGAGATGCCCCAATAAAAAAATTGAGCAGTCCTGCATTAATGTATAGCACAGTCACAGCAGGAGCTGTGACACGCCACGGCAAAGCCTTCGAGCATCGCGTCTCATTCACGCACTGTGGGGTGTGTGAACAAAAGCATTCGGAACAAAAAATAAACCTCCGACCATTTTCTTCCAAACGCTTTTGTTTCTTTTTGTTCCTCAGCGGGTGAAAGCGCGTCTCCCGGCACAAGTTCCTGTCATTGACAGTGCTACGACGGCATTTGGTTATCGGCTATTTCTTCTTCCAGAGAGCACGTGCAGTGGGCGTCGCATACTATGCTCTGTTCACCCTTAAGCTCAGACTGCAGTTAATGCCACAAGCACAAGAGCACGAGATTGTCACTTTTAAACATTCTTCCGCAGAACGAGCGCTCGCGCTAGAAAGGCACGTATCCAAGCAAGGAGCTCAGGCTAACTCGAACTTGAACCTTCAGCTGTAGTCTCAGCATAAGGGTAAACGAAATTTACAATAACCCAAAGAAAAGAGCAGGTTATTAACGCCGTGGCGTAGCTCGGTGGTAATGTCTTTGCTTTGCAAGCAGCAAACCCAGGTTTGATTCCCGCAGGCAGTGGGCGATCTTGTTCAAGGACTTTAAGACACCGACGGCGGACGTCCTACATCACCAACTACAACAACGGGCGTCGTTTCCAGTGGTGGGAAAAGCCCATAGCAGCTATCACTGTAAAACATATTTAGCTGGAAGACAATAAAAAAAAAACTTTCAGCCTTTCCACTCTGGTGAAGAAGGAAGACCAGCGAAGCTGTACTATGGTGGGATGACCTCAAGGACGACTTCTTGGACGACCTCAAGGACGACGTCTAGAGAACGACATCTAGGACAATGTCTAGGACGAACTTGAGGACGACTTCTAGGACAACCTCGAGGATGACGTTGAGGACGACCTTAGGGACGACATCTAGGACGACGTCAAGGACAATGCCTGGGACGACCTCAGGGATGACGTTTAGGATTACCTCAAGGACGACCTCAAGGACGACTTCGAGGACGACCTCGAGGACAAACTCTCGGATGACCTCAAGGACGACGTGCAGGATGATCTCGAGGACAACCTCTAGGACGACGCTTAGAGAAATTCAGCCTTTCCACTCTGGTGAAAACCAGAGTGGAAAGGCTGGAGAGGTTGCCGCCATCTATGAGCGACAACGGCAACAAGACAACCGGCAAGCCGATTGTCTGGTTGCCGCTGTCGCTCATAAATGGCAGTAGCTGTCCAGAGTTTTGTGTCAACATTTATTTGGTGATGGACACGAAACTGGGGAAACTAGCCCTTAAGAGCTCTGTGGTAAAAACTGGACTGACGTTGGCATCCGCCGTAAAGTACAAACGTTTGTCCACACATGCTCTTAAAACTATGCTGTCCTTGGAAATTTAGTGTTTCACAGGAAAATGATTTGAAAACATCCATAAAATAACAGAAGAAAAATCTTTGCATCCTTTTGCTCGTCAACTGAACGCTGGGAAAAACCGCCATTTGGGCGTCCCAGGTGCATGACTGTCACAGAGATGTCTAGCAACATTGTAACACTGACACACCTCAATCCTCCTGGGTCGAAATAAAGGTTATATTATTATAATTATCACAGTAGCAGCACTGTAACACAATTGTAACATAATTCTTCTTTTATGTCAACCTATTTTCATGTGAAAGAAAACTAGTCAATAGCCAGCATTGTGTTTGTGTGTGTCTTGCATATGTCCTTGTAGTTATCTACCACATCATCCAACTACACACCTTGCTACAATGGCAGGTGCTAGAGCATGACAAATGCACATTCTGCGGGCTGCAGATATGGGTGCGGCCATTACGCAAATTCTTTATTTCTTTGGATTTTGCAGTCAAAGCCTGGGGGAACATTTCTTACATGTATAGAACCCCCCTACACACACACAACTGTGACTCTCCAATACAATCAAATTAAATGGCCTGGAAGCAATTATCAAATACTGTATTATTCAGAACTACTACTAAATTATTCTGAGCACCATATTTTCATGACACCAGTCAGGCACATAGCCATGATTTTGTTTCAAGGGGGGGCCCGGCCATGAAAAAATGCTGCATGAGGGGGAGGGGGGGAGAGGAGGTCCCAGCGAAAATGGAAGATTTCAGGGGGGGCCCAAGCCCAATGCCCCCCCTCCTGGCTACGTGCCTGACACTAGTTATGGGCATACCTTGAATGCTCGCTCCAGCCTAACATAACAGAGACGTCAACAAAATTACAGATGTTTTGCCACTTACATATAAAAATGGTATCATCGATAGTATATGTACTGATGGAAATGATATTTGCATTGCAATGCATTTGCATCAGTAGATACAAAAGATGCCACCTGTATGTGTGGCAAAATGTCTGTATTTTTGTTTATGTCTGTGTTATGTTAAGCTTGAGTAAACGTTTTTAATGGTGAGTTCGCCCGGCTTTTGAAACATTTTTGCATACCTTGGATATGGTAGAGCTGGGGCAGGTCATGCAGATGCGCGCTGCAAAGTCGTAGCAGAGCTGATTTTTACGTCGTTTGGAGAATGCAGCCGAGGGAATGGCAGCGTCCAGGCAGGCCACGTTGTGACCGCTTTCGGCATCTGCATATTGTTGTCCACATGTGAACGGTCCCCGAAAGCACCTCGTCGTGCTTTCAATGTGGACCAGCACACCCTTATAAAGCTGGCAATGCACCAATACAGGCCCAAGTTGATCAAATCTCAAGCCTAAATAACCCAGGTCGTATCCTCAAATGATTGGTGGCCCACAAGCTTTTGCACACAGTTCAGTCGCTCTAATGAGTAGTTCCCAGCTTATTTTATGGTACGAGACATTTGGGCCACACTACATTACACTTGCCTTGTTACTTTCACTCCATTATTTGAGCGCAACCAACATATAGCAATATATATATATATATCCCCACAAAAAAAAAACAGGGGTTCTGTTGTTTTTAAAACGATAGCTTTACAAGCGACACTTTGCAGAAATTTCGACCTTGTGAGCTGTTGTCATGCTGCAATGGCAGGGGTGGCCAAGCTGCGGCTCGCGAGCCGCATGCGGCTTTTCGCGTGTTAAAGTGCGGCTCGCGGCTCCCTCCCCTAGCCCCCCCACACACACACACACGCACACACTCCCCCGCCTCCCTCCTGTTCACACGAGCACTTCCCCCAAAAGAAAAATGAAACGCTTTTTAAATCGAAAGACATGTTGAGGTTCGGCAGTCTTGTGTTTGTTTGTCGGATAGATCGAAAGTAATTCGAGTTTCGCTTACTGCTCTGGACAAGTCCCCCCCCCCTACCCCCCCCCCCCCCCCCCCGGCTCTTGGAAGTTTCGTGGTTTTGTTTGCGGCTTTTAGGCTGGGTCAGCCCGGCCACCCCTGTGCAATGGTAAAACAATTTTCTCCGCCCTTGGCGCGAGGGCAGGAAAGTCGAGTTTTCTCGTCGGTTGCGCAGTGCGGGGAGATAGAGAGGTATCCCACCACTAACGACGCGACAAAAGAAGAGCCTTCCAGTCGTCTGCTTGAAAGACTTGTTTTCAAACATTGCTTGTGTTACGCAAAATCCCACTTTGGCAGTATATTTTTTTTAACAATACTATTATTTCTTGGAAGGAATACAATAGGAGCGGCACAATTCAACAGAGTATGAACAATGATAGCACAACGTGGTCACGTTCCAATACAACACTACGATAGGAAATACAGATTAGAATCGACATCGGACAAGGCTTGGGTCAAAGCAAGTTGAAATCTGGTTGCTACACGTAATGTTGGATGGTTTTATGAACTTCCACCATGCCTATCCACTTACTTCAAGGATCGCCAAGCACTGGTGGCAGTCGTCAGTAACATTCACGACGGCTATGAGAATTATCTACGTCGCACCTGTCTTCAGCTATGTGGCGGCACCATTCCACCCGCATTGCGCGACCGTGTTACAGGTATCGATTTTGTTTCTTCACACATTGTAAGCGAAAAATACACTACATTTTTACAGCAGAGCTATTAGGGGCTAGGTTCTCCTAGATTGTGTCTGGTACCAAACAAATGTCGACACAACAATCTCGTTGTCGACACAACAATCTCGTTGCCGCCACTGCTCATAGACGGCGGTAGCAGTCCGAAGTGTTGTGTTTGCCAGTTGTCTTCTTGCCGTCATCGCTCATAGATCGTGGCAACCTTTCTAGCCTTTCCACTCTGGCTTGCCGACTTGCGGGCGGCCATTACTTCATTCCCAACATACTACAGCTGCGCTGGTCTTCCTTCTTCACCAAAGAAAAATTTTTTTTTTTCAGAAATGTGTTTAAATGGAAGCTAACATAGATTTTGTGTTAGTCCTTGACATGCGTGTCCCATCATGCGACTCATGGAATGAGGCTGTGGAGTCACATGGCATCAAAGTGTCAAGAATGCTATTGGATTTAGTAACATTGAGCGTCCCTTTATGTGTAGTGTGAAGACACATGATGTCAGGTCACATGACACTGTGACATCACTTGACACTATGTGACCATGCTTCATGTCAGGTCACATGATGTTTTGTGTTAATCAGACTGCCAATAAAAACCCACTGTTTCCCATTCTCTGCAATCTACCTATGACAGTTTGGTCAAGAGAATGAGACACAGCTGCCAATTTGTTTTTGACAATGATATTGTTTCTTTTTCTTGCAACAAGTGACAGCATGGTTACTGCTTGCTGAATGAAGCCTCCACCTCGGGATGAGAGCAAAGACTGAAGATGTGCCGCACCTTGTTTGACACGGAGTGGAAGCTCCCAGGGGCTGTCAAACTCGGGCCCATGATTGTTCAGCAGCACCACCATTGTCTCCAACTCCAGCAGCACATTGGCCCGATGCTCAAGAGCAAGGCGGAAGCCCACACTGTCTTCGCTCAGCGGCTGAGGAGGCCAAAGCACACGTAGGCCCCGAATCAAACCAAAACTCAATCCCCCCAGGCTGATATGCACCCAACAATTCGAAACAAATTTTGTAAACCTCCGATTACTGAAAGGAGTGCAAAAAAAGTGAAGCTATACTCTGCTTCATCTTTTATTTGGATGCAGGCAATGCTACAAGCTCATGGGACCAATCAAACAGTTTCAAAAGTGCAAGTCACTGGGTCTTCCCTGTACATGATTGGTTCAGCGATGAGATAACATGTAGAAAAATGTGACGAACACCATGTTGGTGCACTTTGACGCTGTACGATTGGTCCCATCAACTCATAGTGTCAGCTGCATCCAGACTTGAGGGGAAACGAAGTAGAGCTGATGACAGACCGACACAGAGCCCATGCTTGTGCTAGTTCCTATTTCCATGTTGTTGGCTCAGCATAATCCTACATAATATATAATGAGTTGATCCGTGTATGATCTGCTTTGAATCCCCCCTCACACAGTGACTTTGGATGCCCTTGAGGCCATAAAATTAAACAAAATAACTGATCCGATTAATAGTGTAAGCATTAAGGAGGGACACTACCCAGAAAAGTCAACTTCTGTACCGCATGCTTGATTTCAATCAAGTTTGCAGTGGAAGTTTATAAAAGCAGCAAGACCATCACTGCCAAATTTCATTGTCCTACGGCAGAATACCGCGCATCTACCCCCCCATTCCACACTAAGCACCCATTCCAAAATTTGTTAGATCTGAGAAAATATGCATGGTACATTGATATGTCAAATTTTTTCGTGATTATTATCTCTCGATTTGGAGTGGGCGCTTGCCCGGTATTTTACGGTGTGTCAATTCTGAAACTCGTTACGTATGTTACAATATGGAAGTCAGTGTGTTTGCTTAGGAAAACTATTGTCTTAAAATAAAATAAAAATTTCAGATTTCTATGTGTGATATAGTCATAGGAATACCCATAGCACATACCCAGCTAGTTATTTTGCAATACTGCATTGTTTTTCATAAGTATAACTCCATAAGAAGATTAAAATGTTTTTTTATCTCTGCTTTTTTACAAATGTGTTTTTTTTAGTATGACAGAATGTAAAAGTAAAAAAACTAACCAGCCAGGCCCGTTCCTCACAAAATTCTGTCCCAAAAAACCACCTAAGAATAATTCTCAATTGTGTAAAAGGAAAACAAGTTTTCCTAAAGTGAAATTTATGCCGAAAAGTGGAATGGAGAAAAATGCATTCAAACTGCTGTCTCAGTAAAGTAACTTTGTTCTAAAAAAGACAATATTTATGGTATTGAGGGGAAGCTTCAACTACCGTATTTATTTGAATATAAGGCGAGGTTTTTTTCCAAAATCCGTAGTCTCAAAGTCATACCTCGCCCTATATAGGAAGCTCACTATAGCAATATGGCGATTTTTTTACTTTTTCTTGGGTCCTTCAACTGCCCCCTCATTTTGTAATCGTGACCGCCTTATATTTGACTAAATATGGTATGAATTTTGTGCGCACGGTCGACCATGTTGATCAAAACTGGTAGCAAGCGAAAGCCCGCAACTCTGACACTACCATCCACTGATCTCTATGACAATTGCTGGATCGCGCTTCCCCTCTACACAAATGCGGCCACCGGACGACCATCTTGGGCCACCAAGAAATCAGCCGGGTGAAAGCCGCAGACACATTGCAGATGTTGCGGAGGCTGAGCGGCAGCGTGCTGGAAGAAACATTTTCTGCTCGTTCGCCGTCATACACCAAAGAAATTTTTTTCGTTTCCATGAGTTCTCAAAGGCAACAACGACCGTTCACACAAGGTTTTAAAAAATCTTTTTCGGCAAATGACAACGAACAAGCAGAAAACGTGTCTCCCAGCACACTGCCGCCCAGCCTCCTCAACTTGCACCCCACTGATTTCTTGATGGCAAAAGATGGCTGTCCAGTGGCCGCATTCGTGGAGCTACAGTGGAGCAGGGAAGCGCGATCCAGCAATTGTCAGAGAGGTCAGTGTTACCATTCCTGATGTGATGTCACGCAATGACCAGCCATTCATACTTGCGAAATTTGGTGTGCAGTTTCGTATTTGTGACAATGCGGCAAGTGCTCTGGCAACCTATAGCACCATTGGCAGTGCCATCGCATCCTCACGAGGCAACATTTCACAAAAAGCTTTTCACTTATTGTGGGACTGTGCCGGGGCCTCGCGAGAATGCGTGGGAGCACGTGCGACACTGCCGCCCGAACTCCGGCCAACTACGTACATTGAATCAACAAGACCAAGCACCCCAGTGCTCAGTGATGCAAAGGAACCATCTCTCGTTGCATTTCTCCTATCTTCCGGGATTGAGAGGCTTATTTAAGCATCGTCACCCCGCTTCACTCTCCCCTCTCCCTCCCCCTTATTTAACCATCATCCCACCTAACTCTCCCTCTTCTCCCACCCTCCGCTCCAAGTGAGGCTGCCAAGCCAGGCATGTTGATTATAATAAATATGTTTTCAACAATAACTTCATGCTCTTTCTCTGATCTAACTCCCTGGCTCCTGTCATCATTCCGCACATGGTGTCAGAAGTGGAATATGGTATGTGGAACTCCAGCTGACGGGTAATGTTGTCAAAAATCAGCGTTGCTTTGGGCAACGACTAGATGTGTTCATGACGGCAACAGAACCCGTTACGAAATAAAAGGACCTGCAGAAGGTGGCGCTGCTCCTTCGTGTCACGGGGGAAGAGGCTCAAGAGGTTTACAGCACCTTCCAGCTTGAAGAGAAAGTAATGTACACTCAAGTCATTGCCAGGTTTAAGAAGTACTGCAAGCCGATGAAGAATGAAACCTGAGAGAGATGCGTCTTCAGAACCCGCCTGCAGATAGACAATGAGTCGTTCTAACAATTCTGACGCGACGTGCAGCTGAAGTAAAACGCTGAAGAAGAGGTCACCTCCACTCCAGCATTCGCTCTGCTAAAGTGGGAAGAGGTGAAAGAAACTTCCACTTCATTCTTGACCTGTCACCGACTATAGCCAATGATTCGGGACCAGATCGCATGTGGAACCGCCAGCAAGAGTTACATCAGAGAATTCAGGTCAGTACCAAAGGTGGAAACGAGCCGAGACAAAACCGGATCCACCTTTGTCTCGCTTTGAATAATCACTTTGAAGCCCATTATGCAGTACACACATCACTGTCCACTGACCGTGCACCCGAACATAAAGGAACTGATGCTCCAGTACCTTCGTCGAGCAGCGTCATTACAGACAGACCCGTGCATACAGGGCAGTTGTCTAGATTAATGAATATTCCTGTCCGACGATCAACGTGTGTATGAGAGCCACCCCAGCAGCTTTGGTACGACGAACATTACAAGCAGCACTTTTAACTTTATTTCACCCTCTCTTTTAAAGGAAGGGAGATTTATGAGTGCTGGCTAGTGCTCCGGCAACCTACAGCACCATTGGCATCATTGGCAGCACCACCACACCCCCACAGGGTATTTAAGCATCATCGTATAAAACTTCATGCTCTCCCTCATGAAAATGCCTGGCTTCTGTCAATATTTGATACAGTATTTATGCTCATAATTGATATTAAATATATTGGGGCATCTTTTAATGAAATAAATATCACATCTAGAATGTGAATAAGATATTCAATTTGTATTTTATTTGTTGATCATTTATTCAGTACAGTAATCCCTCATAATAACAAAGTCAGCAGGACAGCGAAAAAATTCGATATAAGCGGTAATTTTATAAACGCGATAAATCCAAATAAACAGTGCCAGCAGCCTTCGAGGCGGATGGGAACACTGAAGAATACTCTGACCGTATATTTAATCAAACAAACCTTGGTCATGAACACGACACGCGGCAGCTTCACCGTAAAAAAAAATAATTAAGCAAAGTTTGCTGATAATTTTATCCGGGCATCAGTTCTCGAACTGCTCCGGGCACTGCAAGAACACTGCCACCGCCACTGCACTTAACTTTGTTTCAAAGCAGGCGTAGAATGTTTCGCATCTCCGCAGTCGACGGCGTTTCCCAAGGTGCCTCTCCAATGTCGCTTCGTGTTTACCCTGGCCGCACACAAGGTCTACTATCACAGCATCCGTGGCAGGAGCAACAATGGTAACATCCGCATTGACAAGCGCGAACGAATCAAAGTTATCCTAGGTGGCTTTGCCAACATGTTTTCAAACACTCCTGTAGAGATTGTTGCAGCTCAGATAATCATGCGCCGGCTCGGCAAGCATGCTCGCGAAAGAAAATCTGGCGGTCACAAAGCAGTTGGTGATCTTTCACCTTCGGGTCGCGAGCGTGCTTTCTCTTGCATGAGGATCTTCTCGAACCTGTCCACTACCTTGCTTGTTCTGCAAAACGGTGGACAGTGTCGAACGGCCGATGCCGAAATGTTAAATTCTTTGGCACTTTCGGACTTGGGCTCACCACTTTTCCCAACCTCGCAGATCTAAGCGACCTTTGGTAAATGCTCTTAATCTCCCATAAGATGCATGTGCGTGTAGTACTCCGCAGGTGCACACGTTAGGGGCTCCCAAAGGGATGATCTCCTCCGACCTCCATCGCTCCCTCGACCCGATTCCAACAAGAGTTGGGCAGCGCTGGCCGCGGGCGCCGTGAGTAGCGTTTTAACGTGGACGCTGCTCCTGCTGTGCCGCTGCCCGCGTCGGCACATCGGCATCGGAAGCGGCGCTCTGCGCGCTCTGCCCTTTGTCACTTGTTTACTCCGTTTTCTTGTTTGCCGTTTTCCAGCTTGACAGGACGCAAGGGTCTCCATGAACCCCTGTGTAGGCTTGCATGCTTTCGGCGCTGCGGCCTTCGTAATAAGGGTGGTAGCCCACCGATGCACATAGAATAATCCGGTTAAAAATGTGTGCACTTTGGTCGGGGCCACGTGGAACTTCGATAAAAGCGATAATTCGAAAAATGTGATTTTCTTATAATGAGGGATTACTGTAGGGTGTGAATATCTGCTAAATAATGAATATGCGAGAAAGTAAAATGACGAGCTCAAGCCCATGAGCTCGGGGATCTCTAGAAAGCATAGTTGATAAGCTAGCATCACATGTCCTGTATCAACCAAGAGAACCTAGGTAATCTTTTCTTCCTCCACTGATATTCCTGCACCGATACGAAAAGTTTGTTTTTAATTTTCTGCAATGTCACATGTCACGCAGGCATGTCAATATGCAAAAGTACAAACTCGGTTTTGCACGATTGATTTTTCCTGCTCAACTACTACAAAGAAGTTACCTCTACTACTACCAAAAATACAGCAGTCCCAAGAGCTTTGTTATAAAGGCGTTTGACTTCAGTAGAAGCTGCAGAGTGGCACACCACTGCAGCTTCCGTAGACAGGCTGCAGTTTCATATTTATTGATCCATGTACCTTTGATGCCCATTGCGCAGAAGCAATGGGCATCGGAGATACATGAATCAATAAATATAACAACTTTTGCAACAGGACGGAAGTTTGCGCCACTTAGCTCATAATACCAACTTCACTAAAACGCGCATTCATTTATTGAGAATATGCCCTACGTGGACAAGGCTTCATGAGAATTCCAAACCTATTTCTAGACGTTGACCCCGAAGTAGAAGGTGCATGTTTCCAAAGTGCTCAGTTGGGTCCTGCAACAAAAATACTGCACCAAAGTTTGTTTTTCTTTAATTTTTTTCGAGGAAAGTTCATTTTGTGAGGTACATGTCCTATTCAGACACCTAAAAGAAATGCTTTTCAAAAAGTCAAACTTAACAACAAAAAAAAAAGCAAGAAAATTGGGAAGGAGAACTTTTGAAGAAAGCCCCAAACCATTCCTTCCAGTTTAACTCACCCCGATGCTTGGGTGCACGCCGGCTTCTTTTGTATCCTTGCACAGGAACCTTCGGGCCAGCTGCCCGTAGTCAATCTCCACGGAGCAGTCTTCGTCTAGTGCAGGACGCATCAGGACCGGACAACGACCCTAGGGACGATGGGAAGAGGACATCACTACCTTGACCAAAGATGGCCGTTCGTCTCCTTCGGCACTGTGTTTATACGGTGGTGTCGGCAGTCGGTGACAGCAACGGGGGGCAAAGACAGGGGAAGAATGTGATGAATCGTAAGCACCGACATCAATGGTCCCGAAAGAAAGTAAAAAAGAGTGATGGGAAAACAAAAGAAAAATGCAGACATCTTGCTGGGTGCATACGTTTGGCTACAACACGCCAAAGTATAGGAACTCGTCACGCAACGGGTTTGTGTGCAATTCGCTCGATCTCCCGCAACAAGCCCTTGCTGTCTCCACAAAAGCAGGAGGGTGAAGACGACCTACGAATGTTGCACACTTGGAATGCTTTCAAGGAATGCCAAGCAGGCAACCAATTTTTTTTTAAATATGTCGTTCAGTGCTACTGCGCACATGAGAAGGGTTTGGGACATGGTCGTTCCACTCCCCCTACCAACTGCAGGGGCGTCGCGAGGAGTCGGGGTAGGCTCTCGTTCAGGCAGTCCAGGGGTAGCTCAGAGTGTGGCTCGAAGTGGCTCGGGTAGTGCAGCAGGCGCTCCAAGTCTTGGCGCAGACACTCCTGCACACACAGCACGGGCCCGCGTGATCGCTCCCGGGCAAATTCGAAAACTTGGGAGTTTTGCCAGCTTATTCTGAGGGTCTGACACTGAACAGACTGCTCGTAGCTGCAGCTCATAACATAATTAGTGCATGAAAGTAAGACAGAACCTCCAAATGCCTTTGGACAATGCTCCCCAAAAATCAAGAGTGTAAAGACATTGGAATGGCACCTTGGCAAAGCGCAGCGCTTCCGAATGGATGATGCTGTAGCTCTCCCGGACGTCAGGCAGGTCTCTGAACGAGGCCGCAAACTCCTTCTGCTCTTCGACAACCCGCTTGTGCAAATCCTGCGCAGAGATGGATGGATGGACGGATCAATGGATGGTAGTGGCTAAGCCCTTCGTAACGGGTGGTAGTGTGTGCCACCTAACCTAGGAACATGCGTATAAACGTGTAGTCAGCCCAGAAACATGAAGTCTGAACGTGATGATTGTCACAAGTGAGGGTATTCTGAGCCTCGCCAGGCATCTACTGCGTTTAGCGGTGTCCTTCGAGACAGTGTTGCTTTCTCGGATAAATTGCCTTACATATGTAATTATCTAAGAAAAATAGAATAATAAAAATATGCAAAATGAAATCTACGCCTGAACTGTGCCTGAACTTGAGAAGTAGGTGCAACTTGGGAAAAGAGAAACAACATAGACTCTGAAAAGCATTGTATGCCTGGCCTTAGAGCCACTGAAAAGCTAGAATATTGACACTGCACCGCCCGATTGTCTCGTAGTTGCCGCCATTTTTCTGCGAAGAGCAGAGCCGGCACAATCGGTGATAGTTAAGGCGAGAGTTGGGGTGGCCGCATGACAGTCTGTTGTCGCAAAAGTGACCCGTTCAGAGCAGTCGCTTCGAGACCGATTTTTCAGACAGGTCGCCAAGCTGCCGTGCTGCAGAGCCAATCAGCGGCGCCTCAGATTTCTTTATACCAAGCGGCACCCTAATTTAAACGAGCGCCTGAAAAAGGACTCGGCCCTGCAGCAAATTCGTGCCACTTTTAGCTGAACTACTGTACCACGGAAGCTTGAGTGAGCGCACGGAGGTGTAGCAATTGTGCTCGCATTGCACAGTTCCAAAGAATGTAGGTCAATATAACGAGTCTTTCTCGTATGGCCAAAAACGAAGCATCTGTAGCAGTGCGACAACGAACACAAGAAAGCAGCGGAGCGTGAACCTAAGCTGTGGTGGGAAGGATGGAATCTACAGCGGCTCCTAAGAGCTTCCGAGAAGCGACCCGCCTATTGCCCGCAGTGTGGACGTCGATGGTAACTTGTTGCACGTCGCTAGTCGGTCGCATGATTGCTGCAAATGAACGCGCCTCATCGGTTAGAAAATTTAACTTTTGGAGCTTTGGACAGAGTGTCACGGAGCTTGGGCGACATCATTTTTCCCCGTCACAGACTGTTTTAACATTTCTAGAGGACGAAAAACTGTTTCACATGCTTTGGGATAAAGCTTTGGATAGCTGGAAAATTAAGAGTTTGAGCGACAAGATGGCCGACGACGAAAGTGTGAAAATGCCGACGAGCAGGTGAGTGACTTCCATGCTTCGAGCCGAGAAGTGACAAAAATAAAAGAATCGGAAAAAAACGCACACACTCACACATAGACGTACACACCATCTCAAACTTGGTAAACTATTTATTTCACATACCCGCCTTTCCTACACAGTGATGCCTCTTCGCCGTTTGCATTGATGAGAACAAAAAAGAGTGTTTGTGAAATAAATCAATTGCTAAGTTTGAAAGAACGTGTGTGTATGTCCCATTCCTTTCTATTTTTGCTTAGTCTCAGTCTGAAGCACCAAAGATGGCTGAGGTACTCCGAAGCATATCTTGCTCAGTGGCTCCAGCCCGGCCTTACCCAGCAGACTTCGCAAGCCGCAACGAGCGTGGCGACATGGTCGCAAGGCACTCACAGCTAGGCAGGCAATCTCCTCCTGCTCCAAGGCAGTGGGTTCGCCAACAACCCTGTGCTGGTACATTTGCAGCAGACGCAGGTACAACAGGTGCTCCTGACGGCTCAGGCTCGAGAAGCGGGGGCCCTTTTCCGGGGACTGCCTGCCCGGTGAACCCCTGCAGACGAAGAGGTTCGCACGCAGGTTTTAGAGATGCCCGTTGCTTGGCACGACTACGGGGCCTGAAATGCGACTGCGACTGCTGTGTTCATCGCGTCTTCGATCATGGTCCCTCCATTTCCACCTGACGATGTTGCAGAGGTGTCATGCTGTCGTCTGCCGCTATCCTGACAGAGGCACGAAAGCAGAGATGGACCCTGCAGATGACCATTCTGCCGCAGGTCGCACTCGAGCTTAACAGTTCGCGGCAACTTTAACAAAACAGGTTGGGACACTACGATGACAGCGATCGTTCGATTTTGCTCGCCTCTTTTACTGGGACTTCGATGACCAATCGCTAGGATTGGTAATGGAAAACATCAGACGGCATAAAGCGTCGGCTCCTGCGAGATAATTTGTTGCCATTTTGGGACTACATGCTAAACGCGCCAGTCAAAGATGCAATCTAGGCACTGCAGTGTGACCAACTACTTCCCCAGTTCTCTAACATGGTGTCCCACCAAAAAAACAGCACGGCTTGTCGAACTTAGTGAATCTGACATTTGTGCGGAAGTTTGTGACAGTGAAAGAACAACAGTCTGCTCTACTTCTTTAAGGTAAATAGCATTTGGACAGCCCTGTCAACACTCAACATAGGTTATATTGAAGGCTCTTGAATGGATGTAATGAAAATGGTCCACAGTGATGTCGCATTCTTTTACATATTCTCGCAAACCTAGCTGGCTGTTTTCCAGTCAAATTTTCTGCCAATCCCCACTCGAGGAGATGAACTAAACTTCCCAGATAGTTCTAGCTTTTCTTTGTTGAGAGGCACCCTGCTAAACATGCGGCAACCAATCTCCAACACACACCGGTCCCGGTGAAGTGATTGGCCCTCCCGTAAAAGCAAAGAGGAAAACAAAATGGCAAGGAGATGAACTCACGACAGAGTTCTCTCCAGAGATGAATTCGCAAGCCACAAACCTCGGGCGACCTCTTGCAGCAGGCCGAGGTCCCAGGCACTTCTTTTCCATCAGCTGAATAAACTGGTTATAGTAGGTGGCCTCTTCCTCTGCATGCAGGAGCGAGTAGTGCCTGTAGTCCCAGGCACTGAACGGGAAACTCATGTTCCTGGAAGGAAATCATGGCAGACTTAAAGGGGCAATGCAACAATATCCAGCTGGAATGTTTTTTTTCTTTATACGAGCTTACTGGCACTGGTGGGACCCAAGTATATATCGCACGAAACACGACTGACCAAGACACTTCTTCGTAGCAGCGTACTTTCATGAATAAGAGCGAGCGTTTTATTTCAACCTCTCCTTCGCAAAAGTTGACAACATGGCTCGGAGGTCGTGGCGGGAATGGTCCTCTGAGTGACTACATTTGAGTGCAGCTCATAGATTGGACTCGAGCATTGCACAAGCACTCAATTTTGGGCTCATGACAGTAGCTCGACAGGCATTCGTGAAGTGGCTCATGTCCAACCGCTGCAATGACGACGACAGCCGAACCCTAACAATGTCTGGAACTCGGCGTATGCCTGTGCTTTGGCAACCCAGTGCGTGGCGATGATAAACACTAGCGGCATGTAATCAGCACCAGGTCACGTGGCCGCTTGTTATGGCTGCAAGTTGGTGAGGGGGGGTGAACGCCGCTATTTTTCTTTAATTTCCTCCGAGATTACCATTGCGTGGCAAAAAAATCTAGCATGTTTCATTGCTTATAAACGTGAGGAATCCATTCTAAGCGGTATTTACACTGTTGGGACGCAGCATGGGTGAAATAATCACATGGGAGTCCCAAACTCAACTGGTCTTTTATGTCTAAGTACCCGTCCCCGGACATGAGCACGTTGCCCTTAACGATGCTCTCACCGAACAAGTGCACACGCTTGGCACGGATGCTGAAAGCCCGGAGCTCGCTCTTGAAGCTTTGTTACGCTCACACTTAAAGTGAAACGGAGAATAGAAGTTTTGAAAAGCACCGAAATGAAAACACAAGCAGTCACATTGAAAATGAGAATAAATTAAAGTGAGCACTTGTTTGTCATCAGCCAAAATCCTTGGTTAGAATAAATTTATATAGACTACACAAAAAAAAATGAGCACACAAGAATGACCATCGGTTCAGAATCGCCTTCAGCTTATTTTCGCCGGATGTGACTATCAAATGCCCAGTGTTGCCCACAAGAAACTATGCCCTGAATAGTTCCCGGTTTGTGCATCGTTTTTACCTTCTCTAGGAGGAGGCAATACTATACTCCGTATCATCTTACGATAAGACCTCGACGGACACAAGCCACCCCAATCGCTCTAGGGCTGTGAGCACATCACACGTCTATGCGCCTCGCATGTAGCTGCACCTTCTCGAAAGTCACGTGACACTCGACTGGCTCAGATGGCTCGTAGCGTCATCTGCAGTCCACCATAAAAGGAAACGGAGTACGTGTCAATTTTTAAAATTTTGGCCGAGAACAGAGAAGCTCGCCCCATCGGCAATAGTGGCCGTCCAATGCGTGATACAAAGAGCAAGTCAATTTCATCAGGCTTTATGTGCCTGCCTCATCCAGAAATTCATGCAACTATTGCAGTGCACCTAGACACAATCCTTACATCCCAAGAGCTTTTTTCCCTCCCTTAAAATGGTTTTTACTACAATTTTTTTTTTTAAGTTACAATGGCTTTTTAGCACTTAGCTTTTGTTTGAGGCAAACACAGTTAATGATTTTAAAATCTTGTTTCCACGAATTACTCGAGAGGTTATTGAGACCACAGGCAAGCTAGTGTGTAGTTACCATCTTGTTGAATTACCCGATATTGGGGCGAGAAACCTGGATAACTCCAAACCGTGAATGAGAAAGAAAAAGGTGACGGAAGGACAAAATCTCCAACTCTGCTAAAACTTTATTTAGGACACCTCTTATATACAGCCTACCCCAAGGTTGGCCTCTGCACACAAAAAGTCAATCCATTCACTCGGCTCAAACCCAAGCCAATCCCTGCTACGACCCCAGGACACTTCGGTCACTTTTCCCTCTTGCTCTGAACAAAGGCTGCGTGCAGTCTCATCAGCTCTCCCACATAGGCACTTAGAGAGACAACCGGGACGCCCTCCACCCCCGAAACAGACAAGTCACTCACGAGAAAAGAGTCAAAGTACAGGCTAGCTGGTGGAAATCAACCATTTTGTTGTTTACCCTGAGACTGGGGTTTTTTTTGAAGAGCAGAAGTAACAGAAAAAACAGACAGGTCTCAAACTCAGCTACACGTTTATTTCAACAACTTCCTCTTATATAGTAACCTCTCGGTGTTTGAACGATCGTTTAACAGAACACAAAAGGAATGTTAAAAATAATGCAGCAAATTCGGAGTTGGCTAAGCATCTGGAGGAGTGTAGAAACTGCACAACGGATTGGTCTGGAACGGATGTAGTTGTTAAGGAAAGCAACGATGTTAAAAGGGTGGTAAGAGAAACAATTAGGATTAGATCGTTTGGAAATTCCATTAGTCAACCTTCCATCCGAATAGGGAACCGCTGCAAGCAATTTTTACAGTTTTAAGTGTTTTTTTTTTTTTTTAGTCATCCTGAAAGGCTTTTTTGGTGCGTATTGCCTGTGGTGTGTACTGGTGTGTATTGTCTGTTTTCTACAATTTTGGAGGTGACCAGTTTTGAGTGGGATGTTGTTGTGGGCTATTGTCTTGTTTATTGTGAGGACACAAAAGAGTTGCTTGAAGTCTTTGTGAGGCGTATCTTCTGCTAGAACCTTTTCACTTGGAAACGTTGGGAGTGTCCGCTTCTTTTGCGATAGAGTGGAACCTGTAAAGTCACGGTGCAAAGGACAAGTCGTATGTGATTGGTTGTTGACGACGAGAACGAACTATATAAGAGGAAGTTGTTGAAATAAACGTGTAGCTGAGTTTGAGACCTGTCTGTTTTTTCTGTTACTTCTGCTCTTCAAAAAAAAAAACCCAGTCTCAGGGTAAACGACGAAATGGTTAGAAGTCACTCACCTTCACTTTGACACGTCCCCCTTTCTTTGAACAAAAGCATTTAACAAACTAAAAAATCGTCAAATTTCCAGTCGAACTCGCGCTACAACCTCGAGGTGGGCCCGGACTGAAGACGCAACGTCATTCAGATGACGGGACGCCTCCCGCTCTCCGGTACCTCTGATCAGAGTCCCGGCACTTCGCGTCTCATAAAACGGCCAAGTGCCGTACAGGTGGTAGAAAATAAATAAAAATATGTATACGTTTCAAGTTTTCATTTTGTCTCTTACTATCACGCCTGGAATAAAACCGCGAAACACAGTGTAAGCAGCGTAAGCTAAACTTGATGGTGAGCGGTTGTTTTCACACGAACGCGGAATGGAGCACATGGCCCATTCATTGGTCAGAACATCGTCGATCTTGTTTACATGCTCTTTAACTTCTTTCTGCTGTTTCCGCTACACACTAAAGCTTTCCCGTGGTCGGCTAACTTACGTGAAGGGTGACAGGGAATGTGTAGCTCTCAGAAACCAGTGATTTCGCTCATACGTCTGATGATAATCTATTTACAGCGTTCACACTCACAGTACACACGCACATCAAGTCGAAGCATAGGCATAGGTATGGTGCGTGGAACGCGTCTCCGACTGGTGTGTTTACCGCGGCCAAAAAAGTGGTCCCTCGATTTCCGCCTGATGACGTCATAAACATGTCATGTTGTCGCCGGTCGCGACCCTGGCGGCGTCTCAACAGTTGTGGTAAAAATAGCAGACGCCTGTTTTGCTGCAGGTCGCTTTCCATTGTGACAGTTCACGGAAACTAGGACAGCCGGAAGTTGGGACGCCTAAAGAAACGCTGTGACGACAGCGACACTCGCGTTGCGTCCGCTCGTGCTTTTTGCCAGCATTTCTACGGTCAACCGCCAGGATCGCTACAGGCACCAGCATGACACTCGCGTCATTTGTTGCCACATTGGGACCACTTTTGATGTATGGGCGGGATAAGGCGCTAAACACACCAGTCGAAGACGCAACCCCTGGACATTTCCCATAGGGCCAATGGAGTCGAGCTTTGTACAGTAGCGTGGTACTCAGGGTTTTAGGAGGCGGCACGCCCAATGGGAGAATACATGAAGATCGACACAACACGGCTGATTAAAAAATGAACGGCGAGTTCACACTTTTCAAAACTAGTCTGTCGTGAAGTTAGTAAAGCGCTAAACACTTAATCAAAGTTTTAATAATATCGGATGCGTGTGCAAATTTTTAGAAGGCAATTTCCAAGGCAATGGCGTTTGAAGCAGACGATTTTTGCTCGCAGCGGAGATGGGCTTTTCGGGTTGGCCGGAGCGGGTCACGTGAATGGTGTGACGTCGCCGTGTCGTCTGCTGCATGATGCCGCTCAGGCAATTTTATAAAAAAAGTTACGTCCTTGCATGGCACAAAACTTATCGCAAATTATTCTAAAATGTTCCATTATTATGTCAAAAACGATTGCCATTCCGCACATTCCCACAATACTGAAGAAACGGCGATTTTCTCACGTTCTCCGTGCATTTCTGACCGGAGTTGGAACCTCCGGGCGTTCGCCGCTAGTCGCCGAGAGGCGGCGTTCTAGATTGCGCTACTACAGAGCCGTATATTGGGAGAGTTTGGCCATTCATTGGTATCAATGGGGCGAAAATCTATTGGTCGAATAGTTGATTGACAGGCCGCTCGTGGCCAATCACAAGCCGCAAAACCTCCCCTAGCGGTGGTCGTGAGCCTCAAAAGTAAAGCAGGGTTCGGTAATTTCATTTTAGCGTCGCTAGAGTTAAAAAAGTTAACGCTCGGTGACTGAAAACTTGGTGCATGTGAGCTTTTCGTCATAGCCTTCTTTAATGGTAGAATAAACGAATGCGCACGCGGACACGTGCGTTGAAATAACGTAAACAAAAGTTTGTGTAGCCGCGGGAGTTCCGCCGTTCCGGTCTTGTTTGAAAAATGGGTCGTTGTTGTGCTCTGAAGTGCCGGAACAGAGCTTCCAGGGGAATTCACTTGTTCAAGCTGCCGAAATCCCCGAGGAGACGGAAACTGTGGCTTTCAGGAATCAGGCGTGGCGCGGGGTGGAAACCTCCCGACAGAACGTACCTTTGCGAGGTGAGGTATTGTTCATTGTTAATAATGTGACGCGAGCACGGTGGACGCGAGTGCACTGTGACGAAACCGTGTATTTTGTGATCTATTCTCTATTGCCGTGGAAGCGTCCTGTGCGCTTTCGCTTCACCGCAGAAAGACGAGTGGTTCAGGCCTGTGGCGGTCGTACGATGATGGATTTGTAAGATCGCGTATTTTGAAAGCGTGAGCCTCTCGTCAGCGGAATAACTGTACTGTGACGCGAGCGGCTGAATACACAGTTTTGACGTCTACCAAAACGTTATTCGCTGCAGGACCACTTCGAGCCCTCCCAGTTCCAGACGAGGTGCTCTGACGGCTGGAGGAGACTAAAAGCCACAGCTGTTCCGGGCTTGTTTCTGCATTCTGAAAGTCAAGTGAGTCCGTGTAACGAGGATAAGTGAGATTTTTGTTCTTTTGGTATTTACCTAGATTATGAGAGTGAATTAAAAGCAATAATTTATCTTGTGTTAAGATGTTTTTACTGATATGATTTGAAAGAGGCACAGGTGACCTATAATAATGTGGACTTGGTAGGCTGTTGACATCTCTGTTCCATGTCAGAGACCTTTTTTTTTTTTTTTTTAAATCTGAGTGGTCCTTGTGCAAGAGTGCATGAGACACCATCATTCAGTGTTGCAGCCTGACACAGCACAAAACCCCGCCTCATGGAAATGTAAGTCAAAACCCAATAACTCATATTCTGTTGCTTCTATTAAGTTAATGCATGAGGCATTCATCACTCTCAGCTGCCTTGTAATGTTATGACAGCCTCACCAGCTAAGTATTTGTCATGGTTCTTGCATGGCTTGGAGTGATCTCGTGAGGTGGGCAACACCCAATGGACCATTTGCAGAATTAGTGGTTCGAGAGTGCTTGGCTAAAAGACGAGAGTTCCCTGGCCGCAGGCACGTCCACTGCGTCCCGTTGGCGTATTGTGTCGCAGTGACTTAGATAGAGCTCCCCCAAAACCACTTTTGTCCCCCTTGAGGATTATCTTTCACCCCGAGGTAAATACAAAGAAGCCTTCGTCCCTCTCCGCTCGGCCAGCATGAAGAGAGAAAGGGCAACAAATCCATTTATTCTCGAACCCATATTTCTGCAAAACGAGGATTCTCCTACCGTGTTTGCAGCAACCAGCGGCCAGGACCTCCGGAGCGACCCTGCAGGTCGGCCTGCTCACGCAGCCGCTCCCCACCACCAGCGGGGCGTGCTTCGTGAGCATCTTCCAGGGTCCTGCGTACCCCCGTGTAGCAATACCACCACGCTCTTCGCCGCAGGTGACCAGTGACAACCAGCGCGGCCAGGCCAGCTCAGCTACCCGCGGCACCTTGGTGTCGGCACACTCCACCAGCTGGGTATGTGGTTCTTGCACGGCTTGGAGTGATCTTGTGAGGTGGGAATCACCCGATTCTCATACCGTGTTTGCAGCAACCAGCAGCCAGGACCTCTGGAGCGGCCCTGCAGGGCGGCCTGCTAACGCAGCCGCTCCCCACCACCAGCGGGGCGTGCTTCGTAAGCATCTTCCAGGGTCCTGCGTACCCCCGTGTAGCAATACCACCGCGCCCTTCGCTGCAGGTGACCAGTGACAACCAGCGCGGCCAGGCCAGCGCAGCTGCCCTCGGCACCTTGGTGTCGGCGGCCTCCACCAGCTGGGTATGTGTCATGGTTCTTGCACTGCTTGGAGTGATCTCATGAGGTGGGCAACACCCAGTTCTTGTACCGTGTTTGTGGCAACCAGTGGCCAAGACCTCTGAGCGAACCCTACAGCCTCTTTCTCCATCATCCGTTTTACCTAAACTCACTGAAGATGTCTTTCTTCAGATGAGCCGGAAGATCCAGCAGCTGGAGAACGAGAATCATCGCTTGGTGAGGCAGGCTGCCTTACAAAAGACAAGGGAAGCGACATTCCGGTCTCACTTGCACAAGTTCTTCACTGCGGACCAACTGGCAGCTCTATGGAGATCCGGCAACAGGGGGTCCAAGTGGTCTAATGAGACGGTGAAGAAGTCGCTGCAGATGCGATTTGCATGTGGCAGCTTGGGCTACGACTTGCTACTGGAGGGGAGCTTCCCATTGCCGTCGTCTAGAACTCTGGAGCGGCGGCTTGAAGGCAAGTTTGTTGTCAGGCCACTCAAATGCTTCAAAGCTCCCTGTTGATTATTTGCAGATATAATATCCTTGTTAGTAACTGTAGTGTTTTTGTATTTTACACAACTTATTTTTAAATAAGTTGGTGTCATGGTTCCTTTTTCACTTAGTTGCAGTGTGGTATGAAGGGGTAGATTATTGATATTGTGTTGGAATGATTCTCTCATCGCAGGCATACAGCACTAGTTTGACCTCAGTATCTTGCACGCGTCGAGATGTGAATTCAAGTTTAGAGGGGGAGTGTTTCCTTCACTCCCAATTTTTGTAACCTTGCTGATGCGACCATGGAGGTAATTATGCTGACGGTGTCTAGGAGAGCACCCTGTGGTGATGATGGTCGAATGAGGTTAATGGATTCCATACGAGCACTGCATGAACACTTGACTTGGGTTCGTGACAATAAGTGCCTCGGCAAACATTTGGGCAGCTCATGACTAATCTCTGCACACGAATGGCCAAAATTAAACACTGTTTACAGCTCAGCACATGCTGCACATGTTGCCATCCCCAGCCTATGGCTATACAGAGTCCTCACGTGACGTCATTCTAGTCACCATTCCCAGGTACTAAGCGTCCCATTAATGTAGTGGAAGGTAGGTCTAATCTGCACCCCGTGATTGGCGCGGCCCTACTAGAATAAAACGTCATCATCTCACCTACCAATCGTGTGTGTCCTGTGTCCTGTGATGTCGAGATCGCTCTAGCGCTCTTATCAGTTGCTTTGGGAGTCGCGATGAGTTGGCCGCGTGCCGTTCGTTCGGTGATGTGCACAGTTTCTAAGTGCTGGCAAAGTCGCGATTGCAGCGAGTTAGCGCAGTTGAGTGCGCTTCTTAACGAGCACCGGTGTGCTGTGCAGAAGCGACACTTACAGAGAAAACACCGTGATCGTGTGTATTTCGCAGGCACTGCGATTGTGCATTGAGTGGAAGGCACACCTCCAGAGAAGAAGAGGTCACGCGCGTGTGCGACGAATGCAGGAAAACATTGTAATGTAGCGTAATGATTGTTCATGTTCCTGGTCAATATAAATGCTTACCTCAAGGCCAAAAAAAAACAAAAAACTGGCTTTTACCATGAATCTGTGTTACTCTACAATTGAGGTTCCGTCAAGCAGTGTGCATCATTGCTCATCATTTCTTTAGTCTAAGATTTAAAACGAATATTTGGGTATAGCAAGAGGACTGACAAATCTCTCATCTACTTACAATATCTATGTAGGGCTCAGAATTAACTGAGCCTTGGCAGTGGGTAGGCAGATACTTGAGAATAACCTAAATGAAACCAGCTAGATTTTTTTTTACGAAGTATAATCATTGCTCACATGCTGAGTTTGTACACTAGAAAGCTATCTCTACAGGAAAAATGCTGTTGACAAGGAGAACTAAATGAC